TACATTATATTAATAAGCTAGTTAGTAAATAAGCTAACTCAACACACCAAAAGGATTGATTTGTAAGAATGTTCTTACCACTGGCAATCCATGTGCTGAATCATGCTTAGTAAGATGGCCTCCAAAAAGGTATAAAAGGAGCCCATTTTGCCACTGTCAATCTAAGCTTCCCACTTTAAACCCTATTCTCAAATCAAGTGAGATTACCTAAGAAATAAAGTGCAGGCAAAACTAGTGCCTTGAAGTAAGACTAAGAAATATCTATCTGAGTTATATACTACCTTACAGGGGCTGACTATATAACAAACTAACCTTCTAAACTTAAACTAAACTTCACTCATACAAATAACCTCTCTCTTTTACAGGAAGGGAGATACAAGCTAAGAGAACTACTTCACACTGAGGCAAACTTTCATAGGGTGAAATAAACCTATTCAATTGACAAAGGCCTCAAAGCAAACCCACAGAGAGAAAACAAGAAGGGGACATTTTTAAGTAAACCCTCCCAAGAACTCACACATTATCTACCATGAAAACTAGAAAAGTCATAGATTGTGTACTTAAGGACTGGCAAGAAGTCTTATCCTATATAGTTGTGCTGTCACTATATACGTGTTGTATATAAGACCTTTAAGTAAGAGGACACCATACATTGGTATCATGTGGGATTTGGTACAGGACAAAGTGTTTCTGGATGATGAGAAGAAGCAAAAGTATCTGTGGGCCATTGAAACCTGGGAAGATTGATGCATGTATGCACTTAATGACATTCAACAGCTATATGGCAAGTTATTAGACACTACACTTGTCATTCCAAGAGGATATGCATACCTTATGTCTTTGGAAGCCATGTTGTGCCTCACCTTTGAAAAACCTTTTCTCCCACGATGCCCCATCAAAGGCCTTGCTGCAGACCTTGACTGGTGGAAGAAAATACTTCAGAGTCCTTTTGTTGGTTGCCCCATCCCAAGACCCCCCACTCTGCACGACCCAGAGGCATATTCAGACACTAGTGCCAGCTTCAGAATCGCTGTGGGTATCACAACCTGGCAGGCACATATAAGAAAAGTGCTCAGCCAGTATAAGTGAGTCTCAGCTCTGCCTAGCTGCTATACTCACAGAATGCAAGAATGTTCGACCCTAAAGGGGAAGTAAAGAAAGCAAGGATCCACGGAATGATGCTGAACAACCCTGGTGAATGGCGGTGAAAGCGCGAGAAAGTGCGCGCGGGAAAGCGAAGTGCGAAAGTGCGCGAAGCGCAGGAAGGTAGTGCAAGCGGTGCACAAGTGTAGGAGACTGATACTGAGACTGATAAGAGGTAAAGCGCGGATCTAGACGGATACTGATAGTGCCACTAGCTATAGACTGATGCTAGGGCCTCAAGACGATGATGGACACATGCATTGCATGGAACTAACTGGTGATAGATACTGAGTGGTAGGAAGGTGGTGGTAGCAAGCTAAGGTGCAAAAGTTGGGTGTAAAAACAAACATGAGAGTATGTAAGTTCTACCTAAGTGCTCTCCCAGGGCTCGGAGCCGAATAGGGAGCGCTCTAAGTATGTAAGTGAGGTAAAGTGATGTAAGGTAAGGGTCCATGATGAAATGGGAAGTGTAATATGCCAAATATAGTCCGATAACAAAAAGGGACATACCAAGGGACTGGTTGGACGATGGATGGATGCTCCTGGATGATGCGTGACGCAGTGCGCTTAAGCATGAGAAAGCGTGCAAGGCGCGCGCACGGGAATACTGCGCGTTGTGCAGGAAAGTGTTGCGCCTATGGCGCGTTTCGCAGGAAGTGGTGCGCTCCATGGTGGAAGTCATAGTGGATGATGGTGCAAGTTGTGCCATGATGGCCAGTTGTCAGAATTCGTAAAATGAGCCCATATGAGCCCACAGAAATGCAAGTCTCTACATCGCTATTATTATCAGCACCAGATGGAGAGCATGGTGTCTCCAAAAGGGATGGCAAACCCTCCAAGGTACTAAGGATATTGGCTGGGCAGAAGTGGTTGGATTTGAGTTCCTCATTTAATACCTTATCAATATAAAAGGATCAGAACAGAACTTCCAGGTATACGGAGACAATCAAGGAGTCATTGAAGGTTGGAGGAATGGACACAGCAGAAACAATGCAGTCAACTCAATATCCAAATGAATCTTCTCTAATATTTACAATTCCACAGCACCTTACTCATTCCACCCTGCATACATTGCAAGCAAAGCAAACCCAGCCAATGACCCATCAAGAGGTATCTACAGTAGCACAGAACTCTTGCTCCCAACCCTCCCTATCCCCATTGGGTTATGACCTTTCCTCATTGACCCTTTTGTCATCTCAACAGACCCAGCAGAATATAGCACGGACAGGGCAGCTTCAGTCATTGATGAGAGTGCTTCTTTTGATGATTCCAATAGCATCAATAGAAATGATGCCGAGGTTAACACAGACTCACTCTATCACATCAGAGAACAGCAGCAATGTTATCACCAATAAGAACTATTTTAACATGAGCCTACCCTCAGAGCTATTAGCAAAACTACAACCCTATGGAACAGGTCTAATACCTATCCCATCATAACTATGACTGCACTGCCTGGTGTGGGAAAGGTTGAGACTCTGGTTCCCCTCAGAGACTAGGATAGCAAGAGGTCGAGATGGAAGGTTTCTAGCAATTACTGATAAAGATCTGGAGAGGGTATTATCAGTGACGAATCTATCATGGACTCCTAGCATGAGAGAATGCTATGGAGCAGGCCTCTTGGTATTTCACATCTTCTGTGATGGACAAATCATCCCAGAAGAACAATGCTGTCCAGTAGATACATGGACCATGTTGAACTTTGTATCAAGCTGCGCTAGATCATATTCAGGGAAGACCTTAGCAAACTATGTCTATGCAGTGAAGGCATGGCATACCTTACATAGCCAGCCATGGAATATTCAACAGGATGAATTGAAGGCAGTCTTGGATGGAGCCATAGAACTCACTCCAGATACCTCAAAGCGCACCAAATACAAACTATTCACTCCAAAACTCATCCTTGAAATTTGTTCTCAACTCAATCTATCAGCCTCACTGGATGCAGCAGTATATGCCTGCTTCACAAGTTCCTTTGATGTGCTTTGTCACCTGGGAGAACTCATCATTAATGTTATGAAAGCTTTCGATCCAAAAAAGCATATCAAATGTTTGGATGTCGTGATAGATGTAGAAGATAGACATGGACTTCAGGTAACCAAGATCTTTCTACCTTGTACCAAGACATCTGCAACTGGTGAGGGAGTATACCGGGCACGTCAAGAGAACCACACAGACCCAAAAATTGCCCTACTTAACCATTTCACAATCAACGATCCACCTTCTAATAGTCACTTATTTGCCTGAAGACATACCAAAGGCCTAAGACCCTTGACCAGGATGGAATTCTGGAAATGGATTAGCAGTATAGTGAAGAGAGCAAGATTAGGTGACTTGAAAAGCCATGGCCTATGCAGTATAGTGAAGAGAGCAAGATTAGGTGACTTGAAAGGCCATGGCCTATGCATGGGATGAACCCTCAAATATCTGCTGTGCAGAATCCCATTCAATGTAGTGAAATCAATGGGACAATGATCAAGCGAAGCCTTTACACTTTATCTGCATGAACATGCACTAATATTAGTGCTGTACTTACAAGAGTCATTGGTGCTACATCCCTTCATTTGTTATACCATGCCTGCAACACATTAGAGAGGTAAGCCTATTCATTATGCCCTTCTCCTTCGAATATGGGAGTCCATGCTGCACCTGACGTGTTGTAGGGCTCCTGCTCTATTTTTGGGAATCACGGCTCATCATGGACTTTCTCTGCAGGATCAAAACAATATTTCAGGTCACAAACCCTTCGGGTTTGAGCCCAAATAGCCTCACATTACCATTGATACTATTTGTACTGAATCAGATGTTATTTCCGACCAATAGAATCTGATTCCTTGCTTGCTAACACGAAAAGTGTACAGTTACACATAGAACTGACAACACATTTTAACAGCACCATCATGGAGCCCAGCATCTTTGAATTGCTGAAAACTTCCAGCGAAGAATGTGCCTTTATATTTAGTAGGTATTTGCACACATGATAATAGAATGAAATGTTCACCAATACATAACAGTCGAGCATCACTCTCAAGCAACCACTCACATTCACATTGTATCAAACAAGCTAATGAATGCTCAATTTGAAACAAACAGTGATCAGATAATATACATGCAGTCACCTTCAATCATAACAATGAATACATTGTATGATGATCATTCAGAATTTAGCCATGCATATACCAGCTATGACATTGACTTTGAGGAGCTGAAATGTTGACAGGTACTGCCAAACTTATCATGACCTATCCCCAGACATCTGTTGTGTATGCAGACTCACTCAGGCTTGGATTGGCCAAAGACTTAGTACAGGTTGCTGCAACAGTCAAGAAGAGAAGAGCATCATAGTGAGGCCAAAGAACAACAAAGAGAACTCATTTACCAGGTGTATGCATGTACAAATAAGATGTTGTTGTAAGTGAATGTTGCAATTCAATACATCTCTTGGTTGCTGAAGACACAACAGTCAAAAAATTGAATTGGTTGAGAGCACAACTGTAGCGCCAAAGAACAACAAACAAAACTCGGGGGGAAAACATGTACAAACAATGCCGGGCGATTTCGAAAATAAAATCGGAGCAAGGTCCAGGGCGAACCCTAGTGATAAAGTAATGTATGCACTACAGCGAGCGATGACAACAATGATGATTCAACACTCCCGTCATTTGCCTGTCACATAGTACTGCCTGCAGGGAAACGTGTGTCGGGTAGCATGCCTTTAAATTGATTTATAGGCGGTGGCAACAAATATCCGTACATGCATGTCGAGATCTGTCCAACGTCTGCCAACAGACTTGTGTTGTGTGAACACGCCACCTAATAAATCCTTGATCGGAGCTTTTATTCGTTCATGTCAACTTCCAGTATCCCCCCATGGTTGTCCGCCTGCCAGTGTTCTATACATGATACATCTCAGCGCGCGTCAATAAACTCACGGTTTACTGCTGGTGGTTCTTCGTTCCCAACATCAATGCATCACGCGCTATTCCATTCGTAATTGAACACCGGTAATATTAACGCCTAGCTCAATTCGTCAGATACATTGATGTTCTTACTCGAAGCGGTGCGCCTTCCCGTCAGGCACGTACATAACCTTCTCTAGCTAGGGTCAACCCTTCTTATAGTTCGATGCATAAATCATTTCCGTTTCTTGCCTCTCACTTACTATCGGGTTGCCTCTGGGTGTATAGGCACTACCATGTACTTCCTCCCTTGGGTGTCGTTGTTTTTCAGCATCCTTTGGGCCTCCGCGGTAGCTGCCATCCCATCACCCACTTATAAGAGGGCTTCCAGTCCTTTTGTGAGCACCAGTGGCCCTGACTTTGTGGTGAACGGGAGGTATGGATTAATCTCTGTTGGATGCGAACCCGTAGTAATCATCTTTAATCAGTTTATTGAAGTACATCGGTACTAACGCTTATTGGCTACCTACGCTAAACACGAACGAAGATATATGGAACACGCTTGGGAACATATCAGCTCTCGGCATCAAGGTCATCAGATTGTGGGCATTCAACGGTATCTATCACTGTTTTGCTCTTTAGATGCAAATGATCGTTGATCCCATAAACCACGGTCAGATGTGGACACCATTCCCGTGAATGGTACTTGGCTACAGCTTATCAAGGATGGTACCGTTTCCGTCAACGATGGGCCGAACGGCCTCCAGAAGCTTGACACTGTCATCCAAATGGCCGAGCAACGAGGACTATACGTCATTCTATCTCTTACGAACAACTGGGACCCTTTCGTGAACTCGAGCGCCGTCACGAACAGCTCCATTCCTCGCAATTATCTATCCAACAATTACGGTTGGTCTTAATCGAACTCTTAACCCCTGCATCGTTTTGATCATGATTTTAGGTGGCATGGATCTATATGTTCAACAATTCGGCCTCCAAACTCATGACCAGTTCTATACCAACCCGTCAATATTAACGTCTTTCATGAATTACACAACGCAAGTGGTCTCCCGCTACGTGAATAGTCCATCGGTCTTCAGTTATGAATTGGCGAATGACCCCAGGTACGTGATGGCTGATATTGCGGAGCTGCTCAACTTAATACACTTTATTCAGATGCAACTCTACATTGCCAGCATCTCCTACCTGCACGACTGAAACGATCACGACCTGGCATGCGACGGTAGCTGCGCACATCCGCAGCATTGATCCAAACCACCTCATCTCTTCGGGGTATGTCACAATATCAATCACAGCCATAGACACTGTTTGACGGCTGATCTAGTGTCGGAGGATATATGTGTACAGATTGTCCGAAATTATACCCTCTGACCCCATCGCCAGCGCCTCCTGCCCCATCGCCGGCTCCTGGAAAAAAGAAGCGCAGCCAAGGAAAACCCGTAACCAAGGAGCAAATCCTTCGAGAACGATCGGAGAGGAGACGCCGCAACAGGGAAACTGCGAAACGTGCGGGAACTCTGGTGGAAGACGGCGTGCGAATAAGAGGGCGGTGGGTTTCGACAGGTAAGTCAAACATATCGCAGCAGTTCCTTGGCTGATTATGTTTGACAGCTACCAAGAGGCAACAGACTTCGACTACAGGGTCAATGTATGACGGTTCATACGGCGTCGACAGTCAAGACATCTCGAACATTCCAGATATTGGGTTCTCTTCCTTCCAGTTATTCCCCGATCAGCAATCATATGGTCCTGATGACCCGAACGTTGCGCCTTGGCAAAGTGTAGAGCAAAACGGTGCCCAGTGGATCACCAATCAGGCCCAAAGTGCCTCTGCGTGAGCATCTTGTCATTGTCCAATGCATCGGATGTCTGATATCTATCTCAGCGTCGGGAAACCTGCGGTACTCACTGGCTTTGGTCTAGTCACGCAAAGCAATGCTCCTTACTTCGTGCCATTTAACTCTACGGTTGCTCCATTTGCTACTGACGGTCGTGAGAAGCCTTCTGCGACAAGTCATGCTTAACTAATTTATTTTCTCAGAGTCGGGGATTACGTTAGGTGCCCGCAGGCTACTGAAACGACAATCAACCACGAGTTATGGTGTGACCAGCCAACAGCAAGCAAGCACTTACACGTCATGGATTAATAGTGCGTTCTTCAATATCACCCTTGGTATCTTTTCCGGCCTTACAAATCTTTGATTAGCTGGTATTGCTGCGGGACTCAACGGCATAGTCCAGTACCAGTGGGGTCAGTCCGGCCTTACAACTGAACCTGGTACTACCGTTACCCCCACTACTACCACTGGAGAAACGTCTACGCCGAGTAGCCCAGGAGAGGTACCCACTCCCCAAGAAACCACTGGCGAGTCCCCCAATGATGGTTACTCTATGTTCGTGGTCCGGCCATTTTATTCTGACATGTACTGACCTGTTCGCAGTACTGGCTCCACTACTGATCAACAAATCCTTGGGAGCGCGTCCCAGTCCATTGCCGCGGACTGAAAGACACTTGACCTCATATTTGAACGAACGCTACATGACTTGCTCCCGGAATCAATGGACATGTGTCACATTGTTGTACAATCTGGTGATGAAATCGCGCTACCCTTCTTGGACATCTGTGCGGACTTCCGGTACAATTGTTTTTACAAATGTGTAACTTCATATACGTATATACTACTGAGGTATCGCGAGTAGAAGTTGTTCTTGTAACGTAGTGATTTTATATATTGTTGTGACTCGATTAGATCCGGTTTGCAACTTCAATTGAGTCAGTTCTATGAGCCATCATGAGCTCACAGACACGATCGGTCACTGATTATCAGAAGAAGCAACAAAAGATGCTGTATATAAATATGTTGTACATGTAATTGCAAGTCCAATAGCAGCGGTGGTACGCCGGGTGGATCACATTGCACCATCAAGAACCCCAGTGCGGGCAAATCAGTGAATCAGGAGCTATCAACTTGCCGCTAGAGTCCACATGGGTTTGCACTGACTTGTTCCAGACTCCAAGGTATAGAATTGACAATACGTAATTGCCGCACTCTGAATCAAACTTTGACAAAATCATGATCAAACTTCTGAACTTCTTACGGATCTGTCCGGATCCGTCTGTACACGACTTGTCAGTTCTCAACGTAACATGTAACATTGTGTCATACAATGAGCTGACTTGTTACAACACTCTCAAACACGTCAATTTAGCGATCTCCCAGCCCGCACGAATGGCGGGAAGTGCGTGGATGAATTCAAATGTGACTCACGTGCGTGCACTTCTTCGAACCTCACTATTGTCGGTTACACAGATTCGAGCTACATTTCAACTGCTTTAGGCTGTCCACTTGTTTCCCTGTGTCCAGATCCAACACTCGAAGACTCTTGTCGTGGGAGCCAGTAACAAGGAGACGGGTACCACAGATGAAAGCTACCTTGTTCACCTATTTCCCAGGCGTCAGTTCGAGTCTGTGAGGCATTTCCTTCCGAATTGGCGCTTGGGACGCTACGTTGTGAGTGCCAGTGATGGCCGCCATTGAATCTTTTCCGGTATCTCAGTTAGCAGAGCGTCACGTCGCATGTCAGCCTTGCTGTAAATACGTGGCATCCCGCATGCAAGTTAGTGTTTCAGGTGGTCGCTTGTAATGTGCTTCGCCATGTTGCGGCTGATTCTATTTCTCATCCCATCAGTCTCTTCCCGCATTGAGCTTGTACTGTTAGGTGACCACATGAATGCAACGAATCATCGGCTTGGTGTCTATGGTAATATCGTAATCTCAGCCTGAGGGAGAAGCAGCTTTTAGTTCCTACCGGCATCATTGGCTGGCAACTACCCTCTTGGTATGCTGAATTACACGACTTCTCCTGACCACTATAAGTTGATTCCATCTACAGGTTGTCATGCGCAAGTATGGCCACCATACGAATGCGCAGCTCTACATGTAGGCTGGCTCATATACGCGCGAGATTGTGCATACAAGCTGTCATCGATACAGGCCGTACGGCCTATCATTGAGCATGACAGGACACTACTGTTACACGCATTCTCATCGAAGACCACCACTAACATCAGATTCTTCCTGTGTTTGCGCGCTCTGTACCGCTGCGCGAGCTGGTACATGTGGGACTGATTCGCGGTTCATGACAGTGGACACTACGGTTAGCTACTGCCATTCTTGCCTGCACAACCGGCTACCTCGTCAGGCAGACCTTACCCGTTTGGCATATTTAGCTTGAACTCATCGATTTATCTTCACTATTCTTGGCCAAGTGGTTGACAGATTCAAGATCTGTTCGTGCATATTCGAAACCTGCTTACAATAGTTTTCTCTATGATCGCACCTTGGGCATGAGCTCATGGAGAGGTCCTCGAACGTTAACCATAAGACTTATGGCCAAGTTGTTAACAGATTCCAAGTCTGTTCCTCTTGGATGGTGTGGGTTCGAAACCTGCCGACAATATTTTTTCTCTATAATCTGCATGTTGCGTATCACAGTACATTCACTGGGCAGTGGGAGCAGCATCGAATTGCGTGTGTCGTTAAATACTCAGTACATGTGGTGATATGTACTCTAACATAAAAGAAAGCCTAAAGCCTAGCGGGTCCCTGGAGCTGGAAGCAGACGAATTTCGTCCAGGTGAGAACTGCAAAGTAGCCGATGCCTGGAACACGTTCAACGTCCAACGGGAAAGGGGGTGCGTTACCAGTAGCTGCGCTGATACTTCCAGTCTGCATGGTTACTGGGGTAGCTCCGCTGATAACATTGGATGTTCCTGCTAGTGGTGTGCTGCTGCTTGAGGCACCAGCGTAAGCTTACTGGCGAGGAGGAGGACGTGGTGGCTGCGCCAACTTATGCCTTTTCCACTGTGGGCATTAGCGGTGCGCTACAAGACAATATCAGCGTCACAAGATGGATATCGAAAAATTGGGAAACTTACATATTTGCCTCGCGTCGCTACGACGTCCACAAGGGGAATCCTGCGTGGGCAAGGAGGATGGCCTTTTGGAGCAGAGGAGTGAAAAAAGAAATGTTCTTAATTCCGGACCTTTTGGTGTGGCGAGTAGTAGCAACGCAGCTGTTGTGTCCAAGTGGAGAATGTGGATCAAACTGTCAAAGGATGGTGAGACGTGTACCGACACTACTGTACCATATGCAACTCTCGCAGAAGAACTCCTGATTATTGTATTCGACGGTTGGCACATTGACAATGTCGTACACATGGATTGAGTATCCTGTAGGAGATGCAACTTAGTGCCTACTCACCTTAGTGCGCGCAAGTGACCACTCCCTTATCGACGCTCCTGCTAACTGAGACACGGGAAAAGGTTCAATGGCGGCCACCACTGGCACTCACAAAGTAGCATCCCAAGCGCCAACTCGGAAGGAAATGCCTCACAGAGTCACAGACTCGAACTGACGCTTAAGCATTTTGAAAAATAGGTGAAGGAGGGAGCTTTCATCCGTGGTACACCTCTCCTTGTTACTGGCTCCCACGTCTTCGGGTGTGGGATCTGGACACAGGGAAACAAGTGGGCCCACGCAGCCCGGAGTAGTTGAAATGTAGCTCGAATGATTCGAATCTGTGTAACCGACAATAATGATGTGCACGCACGTGAGTCACATTCAAATTCATCCATGCACTTCTCACCATTCGTACAGCCCGGCCTCAGCTTCGTATAGCTGCAGATGCGTTTGGGCTCTTGCCTGTCCTTCTTGTGCACCAGGCTGACCGGCCTTCTCATCCTCTATTGAAGGTGTACATTTTGGTGCTCGCCTGCCCATGGATTCAAATGTGTGGACCTTGTCGATTCTAAACTACATGTTTGCACTCATGACTTATGAGGATGTCTCTGAAATTCCCAGTCCAGGTCAAATATGTGCAGGTTGTAGCTCAATTGATACCCACGTAGTTTGTTAATGTACTAGCCTGAGCTAGTGTCGTACCTTCACATTACGATGACTTGGCTTGAGTGAGCCGGACGGACCCGGAAATTTGAATTCCCAGACGTCACGCGTCACGCACTACTCGTCACAGTGAGTGGTGCGTCACGTGTAGAGCGACACTACGCGTCCATCTTAAGACTTCCTTGCCACCATCTGCGAGTTCGGTGTTCATGAAGTTCTTTATCGACAATTTACCTGTTTGTATCCTTATATTTGATGGATATTAGAAAGGAATCGTGATACTGAATTCCTTTGCTTCAGATTATCTTCCCTTACGACCGAATTTACCCTGGTTCGTGCATTCAAATGCCAGCCATACTTAACGCTGAATCTGTTACCTGCAGAACAATATGCGTACATGTGTGATCTCAAACGAACCCTGGATGCAACAGTACAGCACACGTGATATTGTTCTGGACCTGCTATTCTGACTGCTTTCCTCTAGGGGCACTGCGTTCTGGAGATGCCTTCAGGAACAGGGAAAACCGTTTCACTGCTGTCTCTAATTGTGTCATATCAACAGGTACGTTTCCAAGCTTGCATCGTAGTATATTTTTGAGCGCTGCTCGCTAGTTTTACCCCACGAAACGGAAACTTATCTATTGCTCACGGACGGTTCCGGAGATCGAGAAAGCATTGGCCGAGCTGAAACGTCTCATGGCATACCGGATCAAGTTTGCGGAGACTCCAGAACAGAAAGCAAAAGAAGAAAGTTTTATGGGACTCGGACTCACGAGTAGGAAGAATCTATGCATACACCCAGATGTGAGTACACATTACAATGAACATGAAAGAGCCCGTTCCACAGCTTACTTTTCTCGGTGTGGTACCTTTCTAGGTCTCTAAGGAGAAGAAGGGCAAGATAGTTGACGCCCGTTGTCGAGACCTCACCAATTCTGCCACATGTGAGAAAGGTCGCGCAGACCCAGGTTCAGTCGAATTGTGTGATTGGCATGAGGTGAGACAGTGAAATTTACATTAATTGTTCCATGGGTGTTGAGCCATCTTAGAACCTGGGTAAAGGCGAACCTGGGTCCTTAATACCCTCTGGCATATGGACACTAGCCGATGTTCTTCAGCACGGGCGTGAAAATAAGACATGTCCATACTTCACAGTTCGGCGAATGGTGAGTGACGTCAATATCATCCAGTAACCCTCATCAACTGTCCAAGATGCCGTTCGTGGATGTCATCATCTACTCATTTCACTATCTGCTTGATCCCAAAGTTGCCGAACAAGTTTCCAAGGAACTTTCAAAAGATGCCATCGTTGTTTTTGATGAAGCCCACAATATTGGTAGGACCCCTTGTCGAATAACTGTTTGATTTCTCTACAATTCATTGCAGACAATGTGTGCATCGAGTCATTGAGCATTGACTTGACCCGACCGATGTTAGATTCAGCTGCTCGCAGTGTCGTGAAATTGGGCGAAAAAATAGAAGAGTCGGTGTTTTATATATCATTGTGATCGTAGCACTCAAGCATATTCTTTCTAGGATCAAGAAAACGGACGCGGCCAAACTACAGGACGAGTATGCGAAACTTGTCGAGGGGCTACAGGAGTCAGCGGCTGATGCTGCTGACGAAGACGCATTCATGGCTAATCCAGGTTCGTCGAGAAAGAAAGCAACCTTCAATTATACTGAGATTTCCAGGAAAGTTTTGCCAGACGACCTCCTCACAGAAGCTGTTCCAGGAAACATCAGAAAAGCCGAACATTTTGTGGCATTTTTGAAGCGATTCGTGGAGTATCTCAAGGTTTTCAGTTTGACACCCATGCGGCACACTTCGCTGACAGTTACCGTAGACCAGAATGCGCGTTTTGCATGTCGTTGCCGAAACGCCATTGTCGTTCCTACAGCACTTGAAAGATATCACTTATATTGAGCGGCGACCATTACGGCAAGTGTTGTTTTCTTTCTACCAGTATTCTCTAATGTCAGCCTTCAGGTTTTGTGCAGAGCGACTACAGTCGATGATCCGTACATTGGAACTGAATCGGCTAGATGAGTACTCAGCATTGCAGAAGGTCGCAAGTTTTGCAACGCTCGTTGCAACTTACGAAAAGGGTCTGAATACGAATTCTCATTAATATCTATATATTAACTCCGTTGCAGGGTTTCTTCTTATTCTTGAACCATTCGAAACCGATAACGCGACCGTTCCTAACCCCATCTTCCACTTCACGTGAGAGTTTGGTTGCGTATTCCGAAATTTATTGCCTACTCAGCATTAATTTCAGATGCCTAGACCCGTCGCTCGCGATCAAACCCGTATTCGAACATTTCAGTAGCGTCGTAATTACTTCAGGAACCATATCCCCGTTAGACATGTATCCAAAGATGCTGCAATTCACCCCCGTCGTGCAAGAAACATATCCCATGACGCTCACACGCAATGCTTTCTTACCGTTGGTGAGTTGTCTCGCTAGTCTTTGTGCTATTGTCCACTGAAAAGTAGTCAAGGTCATCACGCGAGGAAGTGACCAAGTTGCTATCAGTTCACGTTTCGAAGTCAGAAACGACCCTGCCGTAGTTCGCAACTTTGGAAGCATTCTCATTGAGTACAGCAAGATCGTACCGGACGGCATTGTAGCTTTCTTCCCTAGTTACCTTTACATGGAGTCCATCGTCGCAGCTTGGAATGATATGGTAAATCCATGTGCCCCAAGAGATGAAACTACATTCATCATTTTCTTAGGGTATTCTCAACGAGGTCTGGAAGAACAAGTTAATATTTGTGGAAACGCCAGATGCAAACGAGACGAGCATCGCTTTGGAAAACTATCGCCGAGTGAGAAATGCTTATGGCACAAAAATGTTCGGCCGCTCACTGAATTACTGCAGGCTTGCGATAATGGTCGAGGAGCTGTTCTTCTGTCTGTCGCGCGTGGCAAAGTGTCAGAGGGTATCGATTTTGATCACAACTATGGGAGAGCTGTGATCATGTTTGGGTTTGTGATTAAATTCATAGATCAGAGTCAGCAACTGATAAAATCGCAAATAGGGTGCCATATCAATACACGGAGAGCCGGATATTAAAAGCACGGTTGGAGTATTTGCGTGATGCATACCGTATAAGAGAATCTGAGTTCCTTGGTTTTGATGCTATGCGCAACGCCGCTCAATGTGTCGGACGTGTCCTGCGAGGTAAGACTGATTGGGGTCTGATGGTATTCGCGGACAAGGTTAGTTATCTTTTGCAAACAATCGTTTGACTAACTTGCTAATCGTGACAGCGTTTTGCTCGTGCCGACAAACGGGCCAAGTTACCCTCGGTGGATAAATCAATATATCACGGAGGTTGCTTCTAATCTTTCCACGGACATGGCCTTGACACTTTCCAAGCTCTTCATGCGCACAATCTCGCAGAATCCGAACGAAAATCAGACTGGTGTATCGTTATGGACACTGGAAGATATAGAGAAAGCACAAGCAAAACAGAAGGAACAAGCATCTGCTCATGGAGCAACAACAAGAGCAGCAAGATGACATGGACATCGACTATGGAGACGGTGGGATTGATGATGACGTGTTGTTGGGCTTGGATGTGTAGTTATACATAGTAGAGATAAATTTTTAGTGAAGGGAATCCTTGAAATCATCGAGGCGGATATGAACACTAAACCTAACTGATAGAAGAATACATTAGGTGATCCAAGACGTGATATATATATACAGAGTGAGGTTAGACGACTAGTGGTGAGGTATGTCGGATTGATTGCATCCTGTCATGGTGGGCATTGTGGACATTTTCCCGGTTGCTGTGAAGATTACGGATCAACACTAGACCAAATTTAAATGAGGAATGCATACTTCTAGTGTGATCAGCCGCTGAGGTTGACTGGAGAATAACAATAAGCGACACAAAGCTTCGCGGGAGCAAAAAAAAGCTATTATGATGGTGGCTTACCTATAATACCGACGGCAATTGCATGGTCTCCCCTGTGATCCGCACGTGGTCGGATGACTGGTACTGAGCTTGCAGTCTCGTGTAAAACAATCAATGTAAGTGTCGCCTTGGAATGTGAGATGGCCGCATGCCGTATTTTTCGTGAATCGCAGCTGTCGATAGCACATCTAATATATAGGATAAAGGGCTATTTCAGTTTGATATGATAAAGAAGTTTGAATGTGGACTTACACTTCGTCGGCGGAGGTAGGACAACGCTAATAAGCAAGCGACAAGTTTTGAGTTTACCAAAGGCACTGCTTTTTATGACTTCGTGAGATCTTCCCGGCGGCATCGTTATTGGCAGGTGGCACGGGCTTACCGCAGATCGCTGGGCAGGAAAAGGTCGTTGGTGCTGAGGTATACAAAGGTAGGCGGGGAGAGCCTCAAATGCTCCTGCTTTTAAGCCGAGAGTGTGCGCAGTATAATTAACTAATATTACATACGATTCATCTCGCGCTACAGGTCCGCCAACTCCCGTGTCATACCAATTTTTGGCCTATAGGAGAGACCTTTCAACTGCTTTTTGGCAAAAAAAAAGTACAAGTCTCAAGATCTCAGAGATGAGGGTGCGAACTTTGGGCGAAATTTTCTCCCTTTGACCTTGTTTGCAATTGATCGACGTTCATGCCGCATCATGGGCGCGAGGCAAATGGAGACGTGAGTTTGTATTCCGCCCAAGGAAATTATTTTCCGAAGCCATGGTTCCTCTCTCCATTCCGTGGAATGTAGAAAAGGTACGATCTTACCGACCAGCTTCTCTTCCTGGGTATCAACTGGTATCAGTCCCATTTTGGTCTCTCTGAAGCTCGAAGACGTTCAGGATTCCAGGAAGATTTATAAATAATTCGACATTTTGTGAGACCATCGACTTGGTCGTCAAAAATGAGTCGGGGAGTGAAGCGGCGGACTGCTACGTATAGGGGACTCATCGACAAAGTCCACAGGTTAATCGGTTATAAACGGATCTTGTTACGGTGGCCTACTTGGCGGCCGGCTCGTGGCCAGAGTAAAGGCTTGAAGCATTTTAGCGGCTTCGCACCTCCAAAGGTGGTTGTGTATAGGCTCCTATAACAGTTTGACATGTAATTTTCTGTCTCCGCTCGATCCGAGTGCCACTGACATACCCGGTGCACATGCCCGAGTCCAATACTGTTAACAGTTTTTTATTGCTGAAGAAAATCTTCACAACTTGTCTTCGTCTCGGAAGAGCGACATAGTCTCAACTTCCAAATCTACATGAATATTGCTGTGCGCTCCTGCAAGTCAACCATGTTAGACCATGTTCCCACCTCGACCAATCGGATGTGACAGGTCTCTTGCTCGCATGTTGCCGTATTCGAGGGCTATATCCTGCTATATCTTGCGCAGATTTTAGATCCCCTCTCTATTTGGACCAAATTTTCAATTGATAAAATCAACCGGGAAGCCGAATTGACGCGGCGTCAATGTCATCAGTACTCTTTGCTTGATCTTTGCTCTGAAAGTTTTTCCACGACTTCGAAAACCCCGCGCTGGAATCGGCATAATTTGAATCGTGACGTGCGGGCTATGACACAAATCCCCATTCTCTCGGCGCACCAGGAAGTATCATTCTTGAACCTAATATATATCTGCGATAACAGCTTCCCTTGTTGAGACTATACGCCTTTGATAAACCTGCATAACATTCGGTGAAATCTGCAACTGGATTCAGCGCTCAGCTATCACATACTTGATGAAACATGCAAGAGTCACGGTACCGGTACCAGCCTTGGCAGAGATTATTCGTTGTTTTTGGCATTATGATTATAACAAGAAGGCCTGCCGGGAAACGGCTCCCCAATCCATCCTTTCATGCGGTACAGCTCAGATAAACGATGTTCCCCTGTCACCGTACTCTGCTCGATGTTCAGACATCGAGCATGAGGCAAAATGTCTTCGCCAGATAGGTACATGGCTTTCGCATTGTGGATTTAATGCTCGCATGGTACCGCGAATGTCAGTTAATTTACTCACGTTGAATTGAAGAACCTACGAGGATGTGACCACCTGTACAGTTGTTATCAGAGCATGGTCCGGACTTATTGTTAGATTGACTGGAGTTTCTGGATCTGTGGCATGCCGCTGTTTCAGTACGTGATTGGGTGACATCATATCAGCATCTGTCAACATCGTTGACCAGGTCATCTGTCAGTGTGGTGCTGTGACGTGAAGTTGCAGGATGACATCTTCATACCAATCCTATGATACTGATTCATATCCGCCTTCAGCTCTGGTAACTGGTTAATCAATGGCGCCAAAAGCATGTCCACTTCGGGAATTAAAGGGAGGCCATTGCCATGACAGGCTTGGCCAGATGAACGTTTAGATACGTTTCGTCACGCTATAGTAATAGCGGTGACAATCATGTGTGAATGGCTACGGTCCTTGTCCGGTCGTCGAGGATCAGAGACGAGGCGACAAGTGCACAACGAAAACGTCCGAGTCATGGGTTGCGCATGACAACGATCCACTGACGTACAAAACTAATCAGTGATCCAGAAACTCGCGGCGTAAAGCTTGCCAGGGGCGTCCTCCTAACTTTTCACTGATGCAAATGACATGTTCCCCACCCCAAATTTTCTTCGGACTGCCTTCTATTGAAAATATCACGAAGATCATTGGACGGTCATCTTCGCAGATCTCAACCCACGACAAGACAACCGCATAAAAAGCGAGGAGATCAGCCCTGAGATATACAAAACATGCATTATACGTCCTAACCCCCAACTTAGTCTAATGTTCGTGCAAAAAGTAAGATGCACCTCATGTCAGTGCAGGAATTTCCTCTGACGCAACCTCCGCGACCTCATCGTGAGAAATCTTTTCCTTGATATTCCGTATTGGTTCGCCCCTGATGACCTTCTTTACTTCCTCGGCATCCAAAGTTTCGTGTTCTACCAGGGCGTGCGCAAGCTGCAAGCACACAAACGGAAACTGTTGAGACGTGAAGAAACAGGAAAAAGAGGTGCGCGCACCCGATGTAGTTCCTCTTTCTTTTCCGTTAGAAGTTTGGTCGCCCGCGCCTCACCTTGTTGCAGTAATCTAACGGCAGGATGTTCAACATAATGGCAACAACTCAACAGAAGTTACTCGCTTGGTGATTTCCGCATCTATCTTCTCCCTTGTAGCAGGGCTTATCGCTTCATCTTGATCGCTATAGAACACAGGACCAACTTTTTCCGAGAAACCCCATTTCTACAGAAGTCACCCAAGTAGCGGTGAGATGGTCACGTAATGTCCAAGAGAATTTGATTTATGCTAACCTTGACCATAGCGGTCGCAGTACGAGTGGCATGCTGGAGATCAGATGAGGCGCCGCTTGTGAGGCCCCCAGTCCCATAAACTGAAATTCCAAGTCAGGAGTTGTGGGAGATCGGGGTGAGAAGAACTCGCTAAGTCCCTCCGCTACGCGACCACCCATGCAAACGTCAATCGTGGCTTTGAACTCCGTCTGCGTTACTGAATACCGGTCATCTTCAGGAAGTTGGGAAGTCTGATAAATGCGAGAATTAGTATAGTTTTCAGGCCTGAGGGATCATCATCTATACGTACGACGCCCAATGCATGACCACGCGGAACACACGTGACTTTGTGGAGGGGCATGGCACCATCTGTATAAAGAGCTGTCAGGGCATGGCCACCCTACCACCATCCATCAGCTTCGAAATTTCCACGCGAGATTCGTGTGGTTGATGATGCACCTCGTGGTAAGCGGTCAACAACTTGTTCTTCTCGTCAATGTATGCGCTCTTCCTCTCGGCTCCCAAAAGAATACGATCCTACATAAATGTGAGACAAAGTTGGAAAATCGACCCAAGTTAGCCGGCAAATGAAGAGCACGTGCCTTGGCCCATTCGAAGTGCTTTAATGTGACTTCACTATAACCTTCCTTTGATGCTTGTATGGCAGCCTGACTGATATATAATGTGTCAAGGTCTCTGTGAAACAAAGAAAAAGCACATGCTGCACTCACTTCACCATGTTTTGCAGTTCGGCGCCGGAGAACCCTGGCGTACCGCGTGCTAATACCTTCGGATCGACAGCTAAAGGTAAGCCCACCATGATTTAGTGATAGAATTGCGCCGAGCAGTAGAAAAAAACGTACCAACACTTGCGACCACCTCTTTCATGAAATGCTGGAGGAGTTGGACTCGACCACGGATATCGGGCAAAGGAACAGCGATGATCCTGTCAAAGCGGCCCGGGCGCGTCAAAGCACTAGATACAAGATTGTCAAGGACGTCAAAACCAGGTATGACAAGCATAGCACTGACAGGTCCAAACTTTCTGGGAAGTTAGTCGCGGCAACGACGATGATGCCTTCGCTTTGCAAGAAACCATCCATTTCCACCAACAGTTGATTCAAGGTCTGTTTCATGTAATGTTGGTCCCTGTGACTGCGCTTCCCACCAACAGCATCCAATTCGTCGATAAAAATAATGGCGGGCTGTCTCTTACGAGCGGTTGCGAAAAGCTCTCGGACACGCTTAGCGCCAACACCCACGAACATCTCCTCGAACTCGGAGCCGGACGCGAAGAAAAATGGCACACCCGCCTCTCCGGCAATAGCGCGTGCGAGCATGGTTTTACCGGTACCGGGGGGTCCCGTTAGCAAGACGCCTTTTGGAAGTTTACCACCAAGGGACGCAAAAACAGTGGGATCCTTGAGAAATTCTACGATATCGTGAAGTTCCTATATGGGCGTGAAATATAAGTCTTCTCAGGCAGTTTATAAGCTGTAAAGCTTACCTCTTTCACTTCGTCGACACCATGGACATCGCTAAACCGTATGGTTCTTTGTTGAAGTGGCTCGAACTCTGCTTGCCGAGGAACAGGTTTGAGTAAGCCAGAATTCTCCAAGAGCACAGACAAGATGACGAGAATGACTGTCGAAGAACACGAGATTAATGACCTGAAGGTCATGATCTGATATACACTTACAGAATCCACCCATGGCAGTCAAAACTAAGAACCGCACGAGACGCATGATTGTAGACCCTCTTGCTAGAAGTACAAAGTGAGAGGCATGTATTTGTATATGTTGATGACCACTTACGCTCACTGATAGTGACATGAATCGGATTACCGCTTACGCCACTACCCTTGCTTAGGGCAGCTGCGAGATTCGCCGTGTCCGTGCTCTGGGAAGCCGAGGCACCGTCAAGACGAGAAGTTGCGAGTAAAGGTTCTGCGCGCCCAGCAAGTACATCGGAAGCAATCTCTTGACTTCGAGATGGAGGTGGTGTCGGCGACGATGTTGAAGGAGCATCAGAAGGGGAATTCGAAGCGTTAGCCGGAGAATCAGTCAGTGAGGCGTCTGTAGCGGTAGTAGTACCAGCAGCGGCAGCAAGAAGCGAATCACGTCTGCGAACGGCCAAGTTGACTGAAACCTCTTGACCAGTCTTAAGTAAGGATGTAAGATACAGCTGGAACGCTGCATCGGACTGAAGAAGCGGTGATGTTGAATTCTTATCAAAAGAAAAACAACCCATGAGTCCAATGAGAACACAGATGAGAGATGTAAAACATATTTACGAATTCGCACATCCTCTCCCAACGAGTTATGACTACTTCATACCCTGCTTTTACTTGCGTGTCTACAAGAACTTGATACAGGGCGAGCTGCTTAGCAACATCATCTGGATTTGCGTTGGCTTCTGCTTCTAGACGAGCGACCTTCGCTACGACCGCTGGGGCAGGCGTAGACGATGCTTTCGACCAAGGGAATAATGACAGCGCACGACGGAGACACGGCTGTGCAGTTAGTGGTTGGATCCGGTGTTGGGTAATTAGCGGTGATGCTTTATATGCGAGCGTAAATCTTGAGTAGGGTTGTATTGGTCGAGAATTAGAGAACGAGCGGAACTGTATGCATGATTTTGGAGGTAGAGAAACGACTGAACGCCCTTGGGCGCGCAGGATGCCCGGTAGCTACAAGATAACATGGTTAATAGAGTAGCATACGATTAAACTAAAAATTGCCTACCAGGAGGTGCGCGGACATGCACCGGAGAATTAGAGGGAAATAGTTGCACTGGTGCTTGCGACAAGAGCGTTACCGTACATACACGCAAGAAAAACGGACAACTTTACGTAAGTCCTCTTTTGAAGGAGATTAGATGCTGCGCATACGCTTTGAAACAGAACATGACTGACAAGCAAAAAGGTGAGCAGCTCACTGATTCATGAATTCTGTTCTGAATAATTATTGCTACCAGTCATCGTCGCTCTGACGTCTGCGTCCGAGACATGCACCGCTGCACTCTCCGCACTCGCTTCCCGGAATCAGCGCAATAAATTTGAGCCCCAAACCTCCGATCTCGCTGTGATCGTAAAAGACCTAGACTCTCTCCTTTCTATGATATACAACACCAGCACCAAACTTGCTCTCGTGCTCAAACCATCATCTCCTACATACTCCGCTTCTCTGCCCGTGATCGTGGATCTAACGAAATATACGTCTGGCATCGCGCATTGCATTCATCTTTTGAATCCTAATTTACATGGGGCGACGCTTATCAAGGAGCTGCAGCATGAGGTGACAGCTATTTTTGAGGCTTTGCGTGCAGTCGTGCAGACATTTTTGAATCTTGCTGCGCGTGGTCCGTCGATAGCAAGGAATGATTCCGCAGAAGAGTATCTTGTCCGGACAGGCACTCTCCACGATCTAATAACCCAAGCACGTGGACCCAATGGGATACCAAAGGATAACATATCTGCCATCCGTCGAAGATGGAAGCAGGACCGAGCGGCTCTTGAAGATAGTCTTCGAGAAGTATCTGAAATGATAGACGGAGCCGAAGGGAGTGAAAACGATGATGTCGATGACGGTTGGGATGAGCTTGGTTTGGGCGACACAGGAGCGAAGATGGACGGGGACGAGCTGGCGCGTGCAAAAAATGTACAGCACTTGTCTGCTACTTTCAAATCAGCTCTTTTTAAACGCGCCCATTTGTCAGGTTCACTCCGTACTGCGGTTAACCACATTATTGCACAAGCGTATATTCTTGGATCTACTTTCGTCCACACCTACCCCACCCGGGCCGCCTCCGAGCCTTGCTCTAGATGCTTTACTTTTGCAGTCACACGCACTCCTTGCTGCGTCCGACGAATTGGTCTCCTCGTTGTATATTCCTCAGAACCCCGCAACAATCAGGAAGGAATCGTTAGCGCTGCTCGATATAATTAATGGACTCCAGTTACAGCTGCGAATATTCTTCCCCGATACGTCCTCCCTAGAACAACAGCTCTCCGGGCTCAGCATCGAGGGAGATAAGTCAGCGCCGACACCTAGCAAACCCACGGCAGACAAAAAGTGGTTTGATCTTTGTTTCGACCAGGTAACAAAGACATCCGCCAATCTCGTGTCTCCTATGTACAAGCCATCCCCAGGGGTCGGCCAGAAACCAAGATGAAAAATGCTTCTGAAGTGTCAGTTGTGCAAGCAATAGAGTATAGGAAGTTTGTAATATTGCAATGATGTATTTACAAGTCTAGTGTTGCATGTCCGAAAGCAAGGTGCACAAGTCAAACAAAACAAGAAATGAAAGCCCTCAAGCTTCAAGTTCAAGCCTCTCCCTCCTCTTTCGTGGCACTCCGGCTCCGCTCCCTGTCATGTCGTAGACGCGCTCTCTCCTTGTCGTACTCCTCTCGGAACTTGGCAGCAAGAAAGTTGGGGTGCAAAGCCATGCAATTGTTAGCTCTAAGTTTCTGTTCAAAACCGGCGATCTTGTCTGCTTGTGACTGCAGATCGAAATGATGTTTCTATACTTGAATCAGAAACAAGGATCCTGTGCGAACAAGAGAAAGAAACAGACAGCTTCTTCCGCGCGCTTAGCCTTTGCTTCATCACGCATCTTGTTCAGCTCTTTCCGTCTTTCTTCCTCCTTCTCTCTCCTGTTGAGTCCAGAACGAGGAGTACTACCACCAGCCTGCAGAGCAAACAATCATGTAAACGTACAAAAACATCGTCAAAACCGCCTCACCCCTTTAAAGAGCTCAGCATACACGCTTTTGTCTCGCAAGTCAAAGTCTGCTGCCCCCATGAGACCTGCAGCCTTACGTTGCGGATGAGGAGCACCGATTTTTGTCACGTCATCAGTTGAGGGTGATGGCTTAGAGGGTGCAGCAGCGGATTGAGACTGAGCGGAAGTTGCAGCTGAGGTTGAGGGTTTGTTCTTCTTAATTGTTGGGAGTTTGCGCTTCTTCAGTTCTGGCGGCGGCAAGGCGGACTGGTCAGGTGCGGCAGAAGGATCGACCACCGATGGTGGATGAACGGAAGATTCATCATCCGCAAAGAGATCAGAGACCTGACTCTGGGCCGTGACGCTGGTAGACGCAGATAGGGTACCAGAAAGGGGAATTTTGCGCTCGTCCTTGATCATGATATCTTTCTCCTTTTCTTTTCCAGCCTTTGGCCTGCCACCCTTTCCCAACACCAATTTGACCTTGGTAGGTTTTTTCTTCGCGGACGAAGATGCCTTTGCCTTTCCACCACGCTTTGTTGCAGCTTCAGGTTCGAACCCCTCGTCTTCTACATCTGGGAAAGGTTCGTCAAGGAAATCATCCTCGTCCACAAGGTCATCAATGTCGACTTCGGCATCTTCAGCGTCTGAGAACGCCGCTTGTTTCTTCTTCTTCGCTCCTGTTACAGAACCTGCCACCGTTATACGCTTCGCGCTCGCATCCACCTTACTCTTCTTTCGAGCTTGACCGGAAGCGACTGGAGCGGTGCCAGCGTCGACATGTTGATCCATAGGGTCGTGCGCTAGAAAACGCGTTTCTTCGTCTGCATCCACCTCCCCATCAACATCAACATCCACATCCATATCATTATCCATATAATGATGTTCATAACCTATCGGTTCTGGTTCTAGTTCTGCAGTACGAGAACGTTTGAAGCGCGAAGACTCAAACTGAGCGTCAGCAGCATCATCAAATTCTTCCTCGTCAGAATCGACGAGGCGTCTCTTTGATTTTCGTTTGCTGAGCGAAGGCTGGTTTTGATGAGCTTCCTGTGCATTAATACACGGAAATTGTTCACCTTTGAGTCTGCTGAATCCCTGATGGCGACTCGGGACATCAGAGCTCGAAGTGGCTGTGCCCATAACCAAGTTTGGATTTGTTTGAAGCCTTTAGACAACAAGTGCAAACAAACGCGTAAATTAATAAAGTTGAGCAAATATTAGGCCCGAAGTGATATTTAAAGCAGGTGAGCTTGCAACTCAACGAGGACTCATTGACAGCTTCTAGTGAGAATAATTCACGCTCAATGCGTCTACCTGGTTCGTTATGGCGAAATATTCATGGGAGAGGAGTACCCTCACGGTATCTCGCTAACACGGCTGTCCAACGACCGTGTCATGTCACCGTACTAGGTGAAGAGTACCCCACCGACCACATGACGAACATATCTCCCACAATCGTGTCCAAGCTCCCACTGAAACTACACACACAACCCTCACATCCCCTCAGTACACTCCGAGCGCTCATAGAATCACATTTCCCCTCATACTCTCACCTCTCCTCGCTCTCTCCCCTCGTCACTCCATACCAAAACTTTGATCTACTATCTTTCCCAGCAGACCATCCTGGTCGGTCCGTGACAGACAGCTACTATGTCAATAAGGACCTCATGTTGCGCACTCACACCTCTGCACACGAAGTAGAGGTGTTTGGACGAGGAGAGACAAAGTGGTTGCTTACTGCAGACGTGTACCGGCGCGACGAGATAGACGGGTCGCATTACCCTGTATTCCACCAGACAGAGGGTGCACGTATCATTTCAGCAAACTCCGCGGGCATGAAGGAGATCGAGGAGGACAACGAACGTCTCGCAGCCCATTTGGAACGATCCAGTATAGAAATTGAAGATGTCCCTCATCTATCGCCGATGAATCCTTGTCAACCAGCTCATGATCCAAAACACACGGAACTAATCGCGAAAAACCTGAAATTGTCCCTGAATAGTCTTATGCTACATTTGTTTGCTGGACGTGTCGGTGCTACCGCTCAAAACCCACTTAAAGTGCGGTGGATAGAAGCTACTTTCCCGTGGACAACGCCAAGTTTTGAGGTCGAGGTCTTCTTCCGTGGTAAATGGCTGGAAATCCTTGGTTGTGGAGTCATTTATCAGCCAACACTCGATAACGCGAGTACGTTGATGAATCGACATATATTAACGTCACGAATAATGCGTAATTAGATGTTTCCGACAAGCTGGGGTGGGCGTTCGGCCTTGGACTCGAACGGATAGCGATGGTTTTATATTCTATCCCCGACATTCGTTTGTTCTGGTCACAGGACCCTCGTTTCCTCTCGCAGTTTAAACAAGGCGAAATCACCACGTTCAAACCGTACTCGAAATACCCGGCATGCTTCAAGGATGTCAGCTTTTGGCTCCCCGAAGGCCAGTCGCTTCATGAAAACGATTTTTGCGACCTTGTTCGAGACGTCGCAGGAGATGTGGTGGAGGACGTCAAATTGGCGAGTCTTGCTCTGAACTGAGTGTGGCCTGACCTGACCTCCGAGTAGATCGACAATTTCACTCACCCGAAAACTAAGCGGAAGAGCCTTTGTTACAGGATCAATTATCGTTCGATGGATAGGTAAGCCCTGTCCTTCATGGAAGCTGGTTTCTAACCTTTAAGTAGATCACTTTCGAACGATGAGGCCAACTCTCTTAATGCACAGGTCGTTTCCTGTTTGCAGGATCGGTTCAGAGTTGAGATTCGGTGAATTAAATGTGCTAAAATAATATCTATCGTGCATGCAATCCACCCACACCGCTCGTAGAGGCTCTAGATTACTTACTAGTGTGTCTAATAGTCCTCCCAATACCTGCCCTGCTCGGCACTGCACACCTGTCACCCACCCAAACCCCGTATAGCAATGACATAGGTCATGAATCATGATGTATCCTGCACGACGCCGACTTGCGCCGCGCGCAATAGCCGATCCTTAATCATGTACCCGGTTTTCTGGCACTCTAATATAGTCCCAGGTTCCTTTCCGGGTATTGGAGCTTGATACATTGCTTCGTGTTGATTAGGGTCAAACTTGTCACCGGTAGGGTCAAATGGTTTGACATGATACTTGAAGAGTGTGGAGAGGAGGAGACGATGGGTCATGTCGACGCCCTGATGCAACTCCTTCAGGTAGGTTTGGACAGATTTTGAGTTAGGTGGTGATGAATCGGATGAGTCTGGGGAGGGAGAGTCTGCTTGGGCAAGAACATCCTCTGGTACGGACTTGAGGGCGAGTGCAAGAACATCTACGGTCTCAAGCAGGTCACCAGCAAAGCGGGTGATAGCAAAATCGCGCTGCTGCTCTTTTTCACGGGAAGCATTGCGTTGCAAGTTCAAAAAGTCTGCTTGCAGGTACTGTAACCGACTCTGGAGAACAATCAAAACGCGTGCAAGGTTTGAGAGGGAATGCTAACTTTTAGGTCCGTAGTTTCAGTTTCTTTTGCTTTAATGGTTTTGAGCAACTCAGTCTCCGGCGTGATTTCTGTCTTGTCGGTTTCTACCTCCTTCTCTGCGTCCGCCTCCGCTGCAGGAGCTTTGTCATCAGAGTACTGTCGTGTGCCTACTATTCGCCGACCGTAAGATGCCAGCGCATCTCGTGAGGAGCGACCGATAGTTCTCGACGACAGTGAAGCCGTAGAAGAACGAAAGGCCTGTCGGACGTATGCAGCGTTCATGATAATAAATGATAGAAAAGAGAAAAGGCTCTAGTGTGACCTTGTATTGAACGGAGCCAAACGCGTCCAAAATTTTCGGAAAGGAAAGGGTCGTGGGAATAACTTACGTATCCGCTTAAGCAAGAACTCATATCTTCAGAAATCAGTAGAAAATATAGACGATATTTTAAATCCGTTGTGCTCCTGCTCTTTCTTCTCCCGTGTCGCTATCTTTTCGATTTCACTGTCTATCTTTTAAAAGTTCTAGTGTTGTGTGTAACTTTCATTCATTCGTGTGTGCTTGTAGTATAACCAAAAGAGGCAACTTGATATGACATTTATTAAGATGCCTCGCTCAGCCTTTCCACCTTTCCTTTTATCTTCCATTTCAACCTCTTCTTCGGTTCGAAATCGTCCAAGATCCATCCTTGTTTCTACCATCATGACCGCCCAGATCATCGACGGCACTACCATAGCAAAGTAAGTGATCCCTGATCAACGTCCAACCTGTCTTGATCAAATCACGTGCGTCTAGGTCTATTCGCGATGGTGTCGCGCAGAAAATCAAGGCGTTCCAAGCCCAATACCCTCGATTCCAGCCCCAGCTTGTAGTCGTGCAAGCTGGCGAACGTCCTGATTCGAGCACGTACATCCGCATGAAAGCTAAAGCTGCAGAGGAAGTCGGCATCAAGTTTAATCACGTCAAATTCCCAGAAGCAGCCACGGCCGACGAGATCATCCAGGTTGTTAAGAAGCTTTCGGACGATGAAGCTATTAGTGGTGTCCTTGTTCAGCTGCCTCTTGGACCTCATGTCGATGCGGACGGTACCCGCGCTGTCACTGAGGCCGTTTCTCCTGAGAAAGATGTTGACGGGTATGTTGTTTTCATTTTGGGAAATCCTTTTATCTGAGAGTTCTAGCTTCCATGCGTACAATATCGGTCACTTGTCTTCGCGTGCTGCTTCTCCGTTGTTCGTTCCTTGTACACCGGCAGCTGTTATTCGCCTGCTGGAGAGTACTGGCGTATCCATCGCTGGCTCAACCGCAGTTGTGCTGGGTCGTAGCGACATCGTCGGCAACCCCGTGGCTGCACTCCTGAGAAGCCGTGATGCAACAGTTACCCAATGCCACAGTCGCACCAAGAACATTGAACAGATCGTCAGTTGCATCTCGCGTAATTATCAGATATCACACCTTTCTTACGTTTATTTGCAGGTCAGACAAGCTGATATCGTGGTAGCTGCTATCGGCCAGTCGGCATTCGTCAAAGGTTCGTGGGTGAAACCTGGTGCAGTCGTTATCGACGTTGGCATCAATTTCGTTCCGGGTATGTTTTGGTCTCCGCATGCGATCCGGGTTATTTATATAATCAATTTCTAGACGCGACTAAGAAATCAGGTCAACGCCTAGTCGGAGATGTCGATGAGGATGCGTTTGCTGTGGCCTCACACATCACCCCTGTTCCAGGAGGTGTTGGTCCCATGACTGTCGCTTTGCTGATGGAAAACGTATACAACTCTGCTGTCCGTCTCTGGCAAAAGGCTCGGGAGCGTAAGATCAAACCCTTGGCACTTGACATCAAGGAGAAAGTTCCCAGCGATATCGAAATTGCTATGGCCCAAACCCCGAAGCCCGTCACTCAGCTTGCAAAAGAGATGGGACTTCTGCCCGACGAACTTGAAAGCTATGGCAAGTTTAAGGCCAAGGTCGAGCTCAGCGTGTTGGACCGCTTGGCACACCGCAAAGATGGGAAATACATTGTCATTGCTGGGTAGGAATTACTGGAACACATTTTGCTATCTGAAGTTGACCTATTTTAAAGTATCACACCTACTCCTCTGGGTGAGGGCAAGTCTACGACTACCATTGGTCTTGCTCAGGCACTGGGCGCACATCTTGGACGTCCGGCATTCGCCTGTGTGCGTCAACCTTCTCAAGGACCGACATTCGGTATCAAAGGTGGAGCTGCTGGTGGAGGTTACAGTCAAGTAATTCCTATGGATGAGGTAGGCTACCTTTCTTTATATCCCTTCTCGCCCTGACGTTCTTTATTTAGTTCAACCTTCATTTGACCGGTGACATACACGCTGTCACGGCTGCCAACAACTTGCTGGGTAAGCTCACTGAACTTGATCTGACACTCGGTTCCTAACTTTGAGCGCAGCCGCTGCTCTTGACGCTCGTTTGTTCCATGAGGCGACTCAGACTGACAAGGTCTGTCAACGTTGGAAAACTTGTTGTTGTACAAGCTCACTTTCTGCAGGGTCTTTTCAGTCGTCTTGTACCCACCAAAAAGGGCAAGCGCGAGTTCGCACCCCTGATGCTCAAGCGCTTGAGGAAGCTTGGTATCAACAAAACCAACCCGAACGACCTGACACCCGAGGAAATTAACCTCTTTGCTCGCCTTGACATCGACCCCGAGACTATCACTTGGAACCGTGTCCTCGACACAAACGACCGTTTCCTGCGCAAGGTCACACTAGGCCGTAACCCCACTGAGAAAGGCCACGAGCGCGAGGCTGGGTTTGACATCGCTGTGGCTAGTGAATGTATGGCCGTGCTGGCGTTGACCACCGATCTCGTTGACATGCGCGAGAGGTTGGGCAACATGGTCGTTGCGACGAGCAAGCGCGGAGAGGCCATCACTGCTGATGACATTGGTGTTGGAGGTGCACTTGCTGTTCTCATGAAGGACACGGTCAAGCCCAACCTGATGCAAACGCTCGAGGGTACCCCTGTTTTCGTTCACGCCGGTCCTTTCGCCAACATCGCCCATGGAAACTCTTCTATCCTTGCTGATCGTATTGCTCTCAAGCTCGCAGGAACTGAGGAGGGCGACTCTTCAGACCGCGTTGGCTACGTGCTGACTGAGGGTGGTTTCGGAGCTGACATGGGCATGGAGAAGTTCTGCAATATCAAGTGTCGTGTTAGCGGCCTCAAGCCTGATGCTACTGTCATCGTTGCAACTACTCGTGCCCTCAAGATGCACGGTGGTGGACCTGAGGTGACGCCTGGCAAGCCTTTGGCTGATACCTACACCAAGGAGGATATTGTCACCCTCAAGGAAGGTTGCCAAAACCTCGCTAGGCACATCGAGAACTCCAAGAAGTTCGGTGTCAAGGTTATCATTGCCATCAACCGATTCGCGTTAGTACTGCTTTCCTATCAGACATGGGTCTTTGCTGATTTTGGCACAGCTCTGATACCCCTGCTGAACTCGAGCTCATCCGTCAGCAGGCTCTTGCTGCCGGTGCTGATGCCGCGATAGTGAGCAACCACTGGGCAGAAGGTGGTGCTGGTGCACGTGCCCTTGCTGAGGCAGTCGTTGCAACTTGCGAAGGAGAATCCGGCTTCAGATTCCTCTACGACCTCAACCTCCCCATCGCTCAAAAGATCGAGATAATCTGCAAGGAGATATACCGTGCGGCTGGCGTCGAGCTTAGCGAATTTGCCAGCAAGCAGCTAGAAACTTATACTCGTCAAGGCTATGGCAACCTGCCCAGTAAGTCCTATCTCCATATGCCTGTGGAGTTATATTTATGTCGTTCATTCAGTTTGCATGGCAAAGACCCAATATTCATTCTCTCATGATCCGTCCCTTAAAAATGCTCCTTCGGGCTTCACCGTTCCGATTCGCGAAGTGCGCCTATCTGCTGGGGCTGGTTTCCTATACCCTATTCTCGGAGACATGCAGACCATGCCAGGGCTTGGCACACGGCCAGGTAAGTGATACCAGGTGCTTATACAAAAATTATCTCACGAGAAATTGCCGCGCAGGGTTCTGGGAAGTCGGACTTGACTCACAAACTGGGCGCGTCGTCGGATTGTTCTAGACGCTTTGCTGTCGCGCTTTCAACCATCGCGACAAGTACATAGCGCACATCGTCTCGAATCTTCATCAGATTTCGCAGCTTCCACGCTGGAAGCCCCGTCTCAACACGGAGCTGTTTGCCATTCAACCCGTACATAGGTCGCCGTTGAGGTGTTGTGGATATGGGTTATTTAAGACGATGAGGGTGCTGGCACGCCCCAATAACTGCTCTTCAGGGTGGTCCTGTCGGGCGTTGCATGTATCATGTGTTAAATAAATAGCTTCTCACATGTATCATGATGTTATCGCTATGACTAATCTACGGGTTAAACACTCCCCTGTCCACCTGGGAGTCTTGCACAGGGAATGGACTGTGCGTTGGAAACCAAAGGGAACGTAGGTAGGGAAGTGGTTGCAAGGCTCCCGCTCTGTTCGTCATAGGTAATCACGTCATATGCAGCGTCTACATCCCTAGCGTACGTGTTACCCTTGGTGTCAATGTACGAAAAGGTGTTGTTGCTGGTCCCGTTAGCAGAACCTCCCGAAGTTAAGATGGTGAGATAACCCGCTGGAATACGGTTGAGTACATGTTCCCCGCAGAAACAGAGATCATACCTGTCTGCTGGCGCTCACTAATGTCGGATCCCAAGATGAAAGGCGCAGGGACAAGCTGACGGTCATACGAGTGATCGAACGTGGTATAATCTGAAGCATAAATCGGTCAGTTATGCAACGCAGGTTGAACCGAGCGAAACTTGCATAATGTCTCGGTATCATTATTAACCAGGGCTGTCACGTTGATGTACAGGGGATAGTTAAAGTTGTCAGTAAGAACTGAGACTCCATTGTGAGTTGAGATGACTGAGCCGGAGGATATCTGCGCGACGTTCTGTGATGAATATATTGAGTGGTGAGTAAATTATTGGGGACAACAGTGGGTCTCAACCTGAATATTAGCGTCGTCGAGGTAATATTGCGTGTTTGTGAAGTCCATGCTCTGTTGGAAAACGACATTGTTTGTCGTCCCACTACCGCTGACAATGGTGGACTCGATTTTGAGGGACCTCTGAGCATTGACCGTGATATTGATATCTGTGCCACCGATGCTCGCTGTTGTCTCCGTTATTGCATAGGGTTGAACATCATATGTCGTGATGCTGCCCGTCGTTTGTTTGCCCGACGGGTCCGTGACAACCTGCAAGAGTCCAGAAACATACCAGTTCTGGTTGAGAGTGTGATTTGTTTCAGCGGAGGCGACGTCCAAAGTTACATTATGTGGGAGGCCGTCGGCGAACACCGGTGCAAATGGTGTGAGATCAAGAAAGTAGGTAGGAAGATCGATTGCACCATATGATGTGATGGGCCTGTGAAGCACATGGTCGAAAGAAGAAGAAAAAAACAGGGAAAGCACAAGATCATACCTCCAAACTCCGGGATTTATGCCGCCAGTGAAAATGACAGCATACGGAAAGGCTACACCAGCAACTTGGCCATCCACAAGGAGACGAACCTCACGGAAAGGGCCTCCACCGTATGTTGTGCCAGGCGGAAGATAACCGAGATATTCGTCGGCTGCGTTGTAGTACTTGAGAGAAGAATCAATTGGTGATTCGGCTTCCTTATACGCGACAAACTGTCTCTCACCCAGAATTCCTCGTCTCCATTGCCGGACGCATAGAGCTCGGCGTAGATTTCAACAGTGTTTTGCGGGAGCGTCACGTTGAGCTGACAAGGGTTTACTTAACACTCATAATGCAGAGGGAAAAGCTTACAGAAAATGCTGGTGGGACTGAAGCCTCGTTGCCAGTGTTGTTTAGCATCGTCGATATCGGTACAATCATGTTAGATTGTCCAGCAGTAGGGTATTCCCCGGACGATGCATAGAAAGTTGCATAAAGTGTAGCTGATGCGTAAATTAACATGACATCATCTGGAATGAAACGAAAACGCGCGCACTCGCATACTGCCCAGTGTCAGTGGAGGTGACGACGTTGTCAAGCTCGAGAATAAAAGTTCCGGGCTTGTCGAACAAGGGGATGTAGCGAGTGACATCTTTCGTGTAAGTCCAAATGATACCATTTTCGGTCGGCTCTGGAGTTGAAGTGCGCCAAACTAGGACGTTCAGTATCAGTCCTCGCCATGCAATGCATGACCGTCAAAAAGAACATACTTTCCGTGTTCTGGAACGTGAAGATTCCAAGGCGGTCATACTGGGTCCCGTTTGATGTCACTGTGAAGTTGAGTGTTACTGCTGCCCAGGAACCGACCGCCCCGCAATCAGTCGGCGGACTGCATAGAATCGGATGAGAATCAACATGAAAAAATGCAAACAGACACCCACGTGTACTCGACGATCTCTGGACTGAAGTGGATGGTCAGCTCAACTTGGAATCTTTACCAGTCAAAGACCAACTAACTCTCCGTATGAGTTCCCAAATGTGCGCCTAGGAAGTAATAGCTGTCAGAGTTTGAAACGCTTCAAAATGATTTACTCACTCCAGAATCATCATCGTGCATTGTTGCCCACCGTTTGGAACCGGAGGCGGTTCAGCGACTTGGAAATCGACAAGCACCTGAGCACTGGAGAGCGCGGCAAGCAATACACCTGCCAGTGGTGCGAATGCTCTCATCTTCGACAGCGTTGATTGCAGCTAGTGTCAGGTAGCAGTGGGAAGCAGTGGACACACTCTCCCTGTACACGTGGAGACCAAAATCATGTTGTTACCCATCAACATCATTTATTTCGCAGGATGATCTTCCCTGGGGCCGGCTACAAGAATAAGACTGAATGATCATGCACATGACGATACCGGTACGCACTGATTTACTCACAATCATAAAATTTGAGTAGGTCAGAAGCGAAGCAGTGAGCTGGATGTTGTCAATGACGAGAAATTACCTTCCAATATTACCATAATTGTGGCTGTACGTTCCTAAATTACACATTCACATCGCTTCAGAGAGTGCATTAAATGAGGGAAAGTCCACCATCGCTCTGATCTTGAAGAACTTGAGTCCAACACTACGTTTTTGTGATACAAACCGCGACTGTCGAAGAGATTGGCTGTAGCTGCTGCAAGAGTCGAGCGTGTGCAAGTCTTGACCTGTGATGATGAGGTACGAAGTCTGACCATGTATCATGTCCACTTCATATTGCCTTCTATTGGCGCATGGAGGTATGTGCCATATGTGTCGTCTTCTTGCCATCTGCGTCTGCGAGTGTCGTTTGTCATATCACCATCGTATATCCGTTATGTAATCTTATTGCACGTCTCTTGTTACTTGTAGTTACATTCACACTCTCGCTGAGCTAGTCTCTCCGTTCTAGCGTATACCTTCCAGAACGTCAAGACTTCGACTCTGCTTTTCTGTAATGCTCAACTATCCAATTCCTCGCCGAATTTTGGTGGTGTGGTTATTTTCTTCCATCCTTCAATACGACTCATATCCACTAGACTCAGATGCAGTCTCTAGTCTGGATCCATATCTGCAGGACGTTGTAACTGTTCCCGCTTCTCTGGCTGGCTTACTAGCAGTGAGTGTCCCTGCCGGGTTGGCCGCAGACGGTTGGCCTGTTGGTGTCAGTGTTGTTGGACAGTGGGGTTCTGACGAATTAGTGATGTGCGTTGAGAAGGTGATTGAACGGACATCAGGCCAATGGCTGATGTAATTTGCAATTGTGGGCTCGATGCTGCACAGATAAACATGATTTGGATTGTCTATTCAGATGCATTTCGATTAGAACAAACGCAATTACTGCTCCTTGGACGCAGATTGACAAACACACAATAGAGTGGTGAGTTACGACGGGTAAAGTGGGGGTACTATACAAATGTATGCGAAAACAATGTACGATTGAATCAATGCGGGGCTGTGAAAGTGCGGGGAGGATAGTTAGGTGACCCAATCAGCAATAGTAAGTGGTGTAGATCTAGGTTAAAAAATGAATTTAAAGATAGCTTACTGAAGGATCCCGATAGGGATCCCAATCTCTCAGAAGCCTGAGATTCAATTCGAGTGCTTGCCCCATCGCAAGAGGCCCTCGTATATCGAGTACATCACCGCTGCGTTAGGTACAACGCGCATCAAATGTGCACTCAGTCCGCCGTAAAGGGAGCGGGCCCCCTCTTCAGCAATGACGGTCCGCAGCGTTTGCCAAAGACCAGTGTACTTCACGACGCCGTTCACAGACGGTTGTCGTAGTCGCGTCCGTAGAACCTGTCCCATATGAGGCAAAGTCATTTATGCGGGCCTAAGGACGCACCTCATGGGGATATGTGATCAAACTGGCGACACACTTCGCGGTTCCGGCACTACCAAGCATCCCAAACCACTCGCCCATACCTCCACAACCTTCGGGGTTCGTAGATAACCGCTTCAGGCGCTCATAGAGCACCCACTGAATAGTTCCCTCTGTCACGCCCAAGTAACTAGCACTCAAGCCCTTGTAAAAGCCTTTAATGCCCTCCTCACGGAAGATCTGCGTGATCATCCTGAAACTGCCTCCGGGGGCGCGTGAAGGTCCAGCGGTTGCTCCCGGATTCGTACTTGCGATTGAGGGATGTCGACGTTCCGATGCTGTGAGCTGCAGACGTGTCTTGACAACCCAGATAGGATTCGTTGCTGTGCCTGTTGCAATACCAGCAACTGCAGCTGCGGCAAGGTGGACATAGGAGTTTTCTTGTCCGTGGTTGAAGTAATTGGCAATGATTTGCTTGCCGTTACCGTACGTATAGAAATTGATAGAACGGGCGGGTATGACACCGACTAAAGTTGGTCCAAGGCCCTTAAAGAGCGCTCCTGGAGACTCATCGCGGTATATGTCACTGAATCGCGAGACCTCCTCAATATTTCATCGCGGTTGTATTAGGAATGTAAATTATACACACCGTAGAATGTGTCCTGTCTCGACGAAATTCCACAACAAACCACCCGAGCGTTGCGGGAGCGCCGCAACACCACCTCCTACAACCCCGACTGAAGTGTGTTTTTCCCTGAAAAGACTGGACTGCAACCGCGTCTTGACAACATCAAATGGACTCGTGACGATTGCACCACACATTCCACCCAGACTATCACATGACAAAAACACGTCAAGAAACCATATTATACACACATGAAGTGTGTGCTCACCCTCCCGCAAAGAAATGCTGATATGATTTTGCCGGTAGGAGACTACTGGATGCAGTCGGGTTTGTCGTAGTTGGAGGTAAATCGGCCATTGTATCGATCTAGCGAATATCCTCCCAAAGAAATAAGTCCACCAACTTCTAAGATCCAAAAGACAGTTATGAAGAAGCCAGAAGGAAAGGAGTGAGGGGGGATTTTAACGACGCCAATTTTTTTCATTACAAGTCACGTGGTAAGTGAAAATAATGATTAGATTATGCAGATAACCGCGTTTTTGATCATGACTCTTCCACCACATTTTTACTTCAAGTAGGTCGTTCACTATAGAAGGACCTTCAGATACAGGCTACTGAAGACATGTTTGTCCTATCCATAATAAAAGTGAACATTTCTCCGACAGTCTTGTTACTTAGCATTGACTTATTACCCTAGGATACCATTGCAATTCTGCCAGCAAACTTTGGTGTGCCTCCAGCACAAGCTCTCATTGCTGAAATAAACAAAAAGTATGCCAATAGAGTCCTCCACGACGTAGGGCTGTGTATCTGCGCGTTTGATCTAGTGGAAGCGGGTGAAGGCAAAGTACGATACGGAGATGGGTGTTTATGGTATAAAGGTGCGTGCTCGAAATTTCAGCCTGTCCTGTGACCGCGACTTATCCTAATGATCAGTCAGATTCAGAATGGTTGTTTTTCGACCATTCGCATCGGAAGTGATCCTTGCTAAAGTGAAGTCATCAGACGAAGACGGCATTCGATGTATGGATTTTACTTCCTTCTCTCATGATTACTAATTGTACCAGTGAGCGTAGGATTTTTCGACGATATCTATGTGCCTTTAGCATATCTACCACAACCATCTGCCTTGTATGTCCTGTGACCTACCATTCTCTCCAAGCTACTCACAGCTGCCTTCAGTGACCCAAATGAGCGTGCTCATTTCTGGCTACCAGACTCAGAAGCAACAACCCCGCACGAACTTTTGGAATCTGCAACAGCAGACCGGATGTACATCGACCAAGGGGAAGTAGTACGGGTTCGCGCTGAGGCTGATGAATTTTACGACGACGAACCTGGTCCGCCAAAAGCATCGGAGGGTGTCGCAGTAAAACGAGAGGCCCGGCGCGCACCATATAGCATGATTGTGAGTTTGCAAGTATGGGTCGTATTCGCTAGCTAATAATTCTTTCTGCAGTGCTCCATTGCAGAACAGGGACTTGGGCCTGTCCCGTGGTGGAAGAGCGCGCAGCCTGATGGCGATGCTATGGACGAGGCATGATTCGCTTCCTCCATTCTGCTTTCAATTGCAATGATATTCCAACGTGCATTGACACTAGCACACGATTTCAACATTATCACACATTGTTACGCCTGACGTGGGGGACCAAGCCGTCGTCTCGCGTGTGTTTGCGCCAACAGGTCTTCCTGAAGAGCCGGCGTGTGGAACCGCGCACTCGTTGCTCGTACATTCCCGGTTGGCTCGACTCCTGAATAAAGATCAGGATGGGATGTAGATTGGAAGGTGGGCGCGACTTGACAAAGGTGCCTTGTTTGGCTCTATATCTACGCGGAGGCTTCCGAAAAAGGTGAATACCACTTGAAGTCTCGGAGCATGAGTTTAACCTGTGAGACAATCCACGATGGGGGGCAGGAAGTCATATGTCATCGATACCAAGAACATCCATCCAATGTGCAGGGGAATTATTATTTCTCCGGGATCCCATATTGTCTGTTGTTGCAGCAATGCTTGTGCGTCAAGCTCATACTCAGTACTCACTGGCAATAACGGAAGTGTGAGCTCACAGCGGGTAAACGTTTGTGATGCGGAGCTCGCACCTGTCTACAAGTTTCTCCTACTCATGCTATTTAATTTTCAGCAACACGTAGGTCAAACGTTTTTGGGCACGTACCAGAGACCTCTCGTAACCGTTTAATAAGGTCAGTATCGAGAACGCGTTGACTAAGTTTGGACGCTGAACCAACTTGAGTGTGACGGAATATTATAGCCGGGGCATTTATCATCGCTATCCGACAAGAATGATTTGGCACTCATTGTAGCAGTCGAATGTACGTTCGGGACAGCTACCATGTCGACGATAAGTATCTTGGACTGTGAAAATGTCGGATATAGCACATTGATATGTCGATTTGGCCATTTGCTATTGGAATTTTGCTGTTCTAGGTCATCAGTGACATGTCTACGCCGATTATCGCGGCAGACTACCCATGGGAACGGCTGGAAACATCCATCATCGTCAGTGACTGCGTGGACGGCCTAGTTTTGGCCATCCTAGACGCGCAAGTTGCACATGTCATATTCCTAACATTCCTGAATTTAAGTTCTCAATCATGGCAGGCATCCTTCTGAGCCATCGTGCAAGACATGGAGTGTTATCGCGCTGACAGGTTTAATCATGAATGCACGCTGCCCTCGTGATATAGGAAGTGGTATGCTCAGGGTGGAAGCCCGCAACTTTTTCCAGTCTCAACCACGGATCGGAAATGAGTATAGTTCCATCCCGCGCCACATACTGTGAGCTCCGGTTCCCCTCGAAAGATCTTGTTTACACCAATCCTATGTACCAAAGGCATGATTGGTCTGACAAAGACTCGGAAGCGGTCAGTGTTGCACATCTTTACTTAAGTGATACAGCTGACTTTGACACAGGCGGCAATATTGGGTAACGTAGATCGCGCACTGGCCCGCCCCAGGATAATCGCTGGTACATAGACATTAAAATTTAACTCCGGCATGAGGACTCGGTGACCCTAGGGCCAGCGGGACTTCAACGTTTGAACCCTCGCACTCTGTATGACCTCGATTGCACTGTTTCATGGTTTATGAACATCAACACGTACTTCAGGCTTCACAGTACATCAAAATTTTGAATGCACACGGAAAATACTCGACGACACTTTCCACCACTGGGCCGCCCCTTCTGTGAACCTTTCGCGCGTGCAACATGTCCAGATATTTCTAGGCAGCTGTCTCGCTCTGTAGCACCTTGGTGCCATGACTTTGCGCATGATGGCCCCAACCCATCGGATTACTGAATTCTGTACTGCTCAGCACCGCAGGGCCGTGCCTCCACCTTAACATTCCTCGGGATTGGCACAGCACTTGAAATTTTGCACTGGTGGTCGACGTGCAGTGTGATGCAGCGCTCATATACACGAGCATGCGCCGAGTTTGAATTCAGCTGAGATTTGCCTCTCCCCATATACAGGCAGAGCATGGATGCCCCACCTTCGTCGCAGCTTCCGAGGCATAGTAGCAGCAGGCCAAGTTATGTCACAATCCCATTTTCCGTAATCCCAATATCAACCACCTGCGAATGTCACGCGTGGGCGGGTGCTATGCATAAGCCTTCTTATAGTAGGCGCCCTTGGAGTATTCCGTGTACCAGCAAATGATTGCCAGCAAAGTCTCCTGGTGGTGGTGACGTGTTCAAGCTCAAGCAACAATAAATATCGTACTATTCTGTTCATAAGCCGATCTGTATAACTTTAAGCCTAAGCAGAATTGTGCGCGGTCCATGACATCATGATTGTGATCATTTGACGGCAGTGAATTGCTTACCGAGTAGTACCAGTAGAATCGGGCCCGTTCTCGGAGCCGTCACTTGCTGTATGGATAGCATTAAGCCTAATAAGGGTTGGGCAGGGCTAGAGCCTAGCGTACTGATTTCCTACCGACTAGCAGAGTCGGGAACCATTTGGGAACCGCGCGAGTCCTGGCTGCAGGTCTCCGCTAGCCCGGAATGGAATCACGGGATGGTGGCGGAATATGACTCAAGGATGACTAGGCGCGTGAGTAGTGACTGCCAGAAAGGGTATTAATAATGCACGATGTCTGGGGTGACACAGCAAGTTATTTCAGTGACTGAGCGACTTGGAATACATTGAAATGGCGGCCTAAACCTCCCCATTCCACAACCACAATGGCCGCCCAAAGCAGCTCTACCTTTGCAAATCCTCCAAACTATGCTTTTACCTCTCATCGTCTTCATCGAACTCTACATGCCTCTGACAAGCAACCAATTGTCCTTGTAGCATGTGGTTCCTTCAACCCCATCACATACCACCATCTCCGAATGTTTGAGATGGCAAGTGACTTCGTTCGGCAGAACACCAATTTTGAGATTGTTGGTGGATATCTCAGTCCTGTCAGTGAGGAATACGAGAAGCCAGGACTGGCTCGAGCCCATCACCGGTATGTGCGGCTTTTGGGCTGCGCAATCTTATCTTCGAATCCATATTGACACGAAATAGGGTCAATATGTGCACGCTCGCTACAGAGCAGGAGTCTTCAGGGCTAATGGTCGACTCGTGGGAGGCATTCCAGAATTATCAGCGCACGGCTGTCGTCCTCGACCACTTTGATTACGAGATCAATACAGTTCTTGGCGGGATATCTACCCGAGATGGTGAACATCGTGACGTTCGGATCATGCTTCTTGCTGGATCGGACTTGATCAGCACCATGTCTGAGCCAGGTGTTTGGTCTCATAATGATGTCAGTTACACGTGTTGCGCATGTGCTCCAAGCTAATGGGCGGATTCCTAGCTCGATCGCATACTTGGACGCTATGGCACATTTGTTATTGAACGAACAGGGTCCAGTATGGATCAGGCGACAGATAGCTTGGCGCGCTGGCTGAACAGCATCTATCCTATCCCCCAGCTGGTCCAGAATGATGTTTCCTCGACGAAAGTTCGGTTGTTCTTTCGTCGGGGTCTCTCGGTTCGGTACCTCATCCCAGCTGCTGTTATTGATTATATAAAGCAGAACTATCTATACCTAGACGACGGGTCGGGCCCGGAGAAAGAAAAGGGGAAGGACAAAGAGAGTGGAGAAGCCGAAACTAGCCTTCGAGACGGCGGGTTTCTACTACAATTATAACTTGCTTCCAGTTGATACCTCGGATGATCTATTTACCTTGAAGGTAGAAGAATATGTATTCCTCCATAGCTTGTGACGGAAATGCCAGTTTCACTCCACCATCTTGGATACTAGACAAACTGGATAGCATCTCGTTCACGAAAGAAATCTTAAGTGTGCACATTAAATTTAAGTTGGGGTCCGTGTTGTCAAAAGTAACTGATAGCGCTCGCCTGACCACCCGGACGTGACGACAAGCGCCATATATATATCAGAGACATTTTGCAGTACCTGACTCCATTTCCCCCTTTTCCCGATACTACTTAAGACGACGAATGCCCATACCTCAGTGAGCTCACTACCCGTGACTGAGGTGTGCATTATCCGTTCTTTCTATTATATCATTATGCTCGTTACTTGACGTCGTGTAGGCTCGTGTTTAGGTCCGTAGTACTACATGAATAGTCTCACTACCCGTGACTGAGGCTCGTGTTTAGCTCTCACCTTTTCACACGTGTTGGTGTTCCTGACATAGTTTTCAAATGGACCACTTGAGAAAGCTTGCAGAAGAAATGTATCACTCATCCATACATTCCATGCATGATCCACACATTTTCTTTTGCAGTCAGGTGGCCCCAAACCCGAGCCATTTGAAAGCTAGTGACGGGCGCGGTCTCACTCGGAGTCGCGGCGATGCACCTCAGATGGAATCGGAAGTAGTAAAATGCACTAGTAGAGCCCACACGCTCAAGAGAGTCATAACGGTCGTGTACTCACGGTCACTGGCTTGTCTGAGTCTCCATCGTTGTAAGGGATAAATAACATTTGGCCTTTGCAGGTCAAAGGCACATAGAAGACTTCATAGGTCCCTGTTGGAAGCTCCCGCATAGTTATTGAGGGAAGCCTGTGTGATAAATGTAAATTAGATACATGCCACTAGTAGCTGCTGTGCTTTAGAGTAGTTGTTGGCAGAGACGAACCTTGTGACTCTGGCTGTGTGTGATTTGAGTGCTTCTTTGATGGGATAGTGGGCTTTGTTTGAAAATAGTGTCTCATTCCGTCCGATTTCCAGGGGGCGGCAGAACGAAGAATGTTTTCTTCTGAGATAATCGAGGTACTCAATCTTGAGATGATAATCTGAGCGGAGTCTCGTCACAGATCAGAAAACCTGGGACTCGCAATGACCGGGATCATGACTCCAGTGGCAATGTCATGGGCAGGATCCCATTAGCGATGCGGCTGGATCCACAAGCTGACTAGAGCCATTGAAACGCCATCACTGAGTGATATTCAGGACACATTCCACCACCAGTTCCAAGACTATCAGAGCCCGTGAGGTAAGGCTGTGTATCAAGCGTCACACCACCTGCCCATTGCACAGCTATCATACCCATATCTAGATTGGGGTGGGGTATGACTCCACGATAGATTAACGGCAGGGGATTAATCGAATAAACTTTAAGCTCAATCGTCATTAATATCGTGGCGCCAGTCAGGCGCACTTGCTGAGGCTGCCAGAGTCATATTCCTTCCACAGTCGCTCCAACGCTAATAGAGGTAGGTACTGTCGATCACCATCAGTTCTTGCACTCTTGTGCTTGCATGAAATATAGTAAATGCGAATCTGTAATGTCGTGAGCGTGGTGTCCGTAGTGCACGAGATGCGATACTGGCCTCAGCGTCATTGTTCCAAGCTGTAGTGCCAATGAGAAGGGGTGAATCATACAAACAGCTCGCGTAACAAACGAGGGGCCACGTAGTTAGAAAACTACCCAGCTGTCATGTCCTGCAGAAAATTCCTATCTCCGGCGAAAGGTGTCAAAGACAGGACTGACGCAAGTGCACTCCAAACACACAAAAGAGCGGGTTACGAAGTTGGCAAAATGATGGCAAGAAGACGGAGATAAGAAAGGGTACACCGTCACGGTTGGTAGAGGGCTCAGGGGAAGAGAAGAAAAAGATCGGAAGCCTCACAGAACGTGAGAATGTCGACATCAACAGTGACTTCCTGCAAAATGTCGTATCAAGCTACGGTGAGCCTTGCTGAGCCCCGGGTTCAGCGAGGCCGACCGTAGTTCGACACGCCAGTCAAGCAAACCAGTGGCTTAGCGCCGTTCAAAAGTGCCCTCGTTATGAATACACCACGAAATGGAAGCTGGAACACAAAAAAGATATTTGCATCCTAATGTATACAGGACCGGAAATTATTGGTGATGGCGACGTGCGGAGTGGCGGCGTGAATCTAGTGCCAGTGAAGGATAGAATGTTCATGACGGGTTCAACCAGCGGAACGCCAATTATTGTCGTTGATGAGTCATGATCGAGGATGAAATATCGTCTTTCAGGCCTTCAGCCGGCAGTGGTTGAGATAGATCCTTGTCACCATGTTTTCAAGTTGTAGTTACTATCAATAAGCCGTTTTTATTGTTCTCCCTGTGTTATTCCTCCTCGAAAACCGAGTACACACAGGCGCCGAGTACTGGTCCTAGTAATAGGTTGTTCCTCGACTAATAAGTATCTTCGATGATTCGCATGCATTGAGATGTCTACAAAGGAAAGCACTGCATAAATTTGTACGTATAATATGTGAGGGACTGCGGAAGTGCATCGATCTTTGAAAGATACTGCATGCAATAATAGATAGAAAGTAACGTGGAGTATTGATGTAGGATATACAGAGGACGTGTCGTCAGAACTCGTGGTTGAATACATCGCTCTCGCCCTGCAATGCGGCAGCGTGGTCATTCTCCACCGCTGCATCCCCATTGCCTTGTCTCCCAGACCCATATGTTCCACCGCCTGCATCTTCTGGCACCTCCAGATCAACACTCGATTCTGCTCTGCGCGAGTAGGTCGACTCTAGATCACCATCATCGCCAGTTGTAGAGCGATTCTTTGACTTCTTCTTTCGTTTTTTCTGCTCGGGGGCGGTATATGCATCTTCCGTTCTTGCCCACCTATCTTTCTTCTTTTTCTTCTTCCGCGCTGGAGCGTCTCCCTCAGGAACTATATCATTGAAGTTGGCAGGGTAACGCCAACGAGAACTTCCTGATTCAGCTGAACGCATGCTACCTTCACGTCCGGGATTGTAGAATGATTCATCATCAGCCTTCCAGAGAGCACTGCCATTGGTTGGCTTGGTAGAGGAATCCTGTGTGGTTGAGCGGCTTGGTGACGCTTGGCCCTCCTCTAGAGGCTGGTCATCCAGAGCAGAGTTTGGATTACGGTCATTGTATCTCCCTGCCCACTGAGAACGTTGTTCATGACGCTTGATGGTTGAAGTGTCGACAAGGCCGTAGCGCTCGACCCACTTGGGTGTGCGGCGGTGATTCTTGTTGTTCCTAACATTCTACAATTCAGGACACGTCAGTACTTTAATCTACAGAAACAATGCGGCTAGCGCTCCTATTACCTGTATGTAAAAGTTGTGCACATGTCCTGGGATAAGGAAGTTACTTGAATGCAATCAAACTGTGGTGATCACAGTGCATACCTGGAATGTATCCGCAAATCGTGAGTAAAAGATTCAGCCAGAAATCCTTCCCGATACCGAACCTCTGCTGCCACAGCTGTATTCAAATGACTCGTCAGCACTCGGTTCCACGATAGCATTCCTTACGACAAGATCGCAAAGATACACACCCAGTGGGGGGAAGAGCGTCCCCATAACGAAGAGTATGACGGCGTACACATGGTATCGCTTGACCTTTGGTTTCGCCGGTTTGTTAGTCTTTGCAGCTGGCATGATGATGCTCGCCGTAACCGACGTTCATGAAAGGGAGTAAGAGTAAGGTACAGCATGACAAGTTGCCGCTTGCCACTTGGCGTTGCTGGGCCGCCGCAATCTCTAAAAGAGGAAACGACACGTGAATGATGCCGTTACCTAAACAAGCGTCGCAACATCGTGTTCAAGCACCATCCGTTATTAGACTTCAAAGCTTCAGCGTTAACCTCGACCATCCATACTGTGCTCATCGGTGAGCGCAACGTGTACATATCTCGGTGAGTAATGGAATTGTTAGATCTATATATTTAGTTTCAATGTCCTCGGCAGGAATCACAATTTGACCTGTTTCGCACTAGGTCTACACTCCGAGCTGGAGGCACTTCACAATTTCTATAATGGACCATGATGAAAACGAACCGGTGCTCGACCTCTCAGATGTCGTACACGATGAACCTTTGGGCTCTGATGAAGAACAGATCCATAGTGGAGATGAGGTCGACGTGCACGCCCCTTCCTCATTCTCCGATTCATCACACCACGGACATTCGCCACACAGTGGCGTACCCCTTTCCCTCGACCCGTCGGTGTCTCCGGAGCATTTCTCAGTAGAAATGCTGGAGCGCGAAATCGCCAGTCTCCTTCACCAGAATGCGACGGCTGCATCTGCTGCACTCCTAAGTGCCGCCGCCCAGCAGCGCCAGGCACAAAACGAGCACGACCACGATTCCTCCATTCAGGATTCCGCTCCAGATGATACACATAAAGTCAGCGATTCTACAACTGCTGGTGATACTATTTCTGGTCTTGGTCTTAATCTTCGTAGTATCACTGCCATGCTGCAAGCAGCACACGCGCAGGCTTCATCCCACGAGCGCCATGCTGAATCATTGAAGCTCCACGACACGGAGCTTGAGCATGGTCTGCGTACTACGCGCACCGCCCCCGCGTTCCATTCTCTAACGGCTGGCGATGCTGATGACTATATAGTGGATGGTCCTCGAGAATTGGGGCCTCGGGACTTGGACCTCCTTTACCCCGCACAAGAGATAAGGAATGACGAACATAACGACGACCGAAATGGGAATGATGCTGCATGTTCCCCACAACACAAACCTCGGACGGATGTACCAGATGCCCACGAAGGCGTGCCTGGAGAGTTCAATGATATCAGTGACATATTGAATCATCTTTCATCACATTTTGACACCGAACCAGAAACGGATCCCACTCACGGACACCTTCAGGCACCATCGACCGAAAGTACATCCCCCATATCTCGTTCTCGTACCACGCCTGCCCAGTCACCCGTGCGTTCTAGCCAGCATCTACCCAGTCCATCGCGCCCCACTCCACAACCTATTGCTTCTACATCGACAGCGCCAAAGAAGTCTCCCGAAAGCAAGAAGTCAAAGAAGGGGAAAGATAAAGATAAAGATAAGGAGCAAAATGGCGAAAAGGAGAAGGCAATAAATATACATGCCTGTGAAGAACCGCTATGTCGCAAGACATTCACCCGAAGGAGCGATCTCGCGAGGCACATGCGGATCCACACCGGCGAACGACCGTTCGTTTGTAACCATGGCGGATGTGGAAAGACGTTTATTCAGGTTTGTATTGTTTATCAGATTACACGCAGCGTCTTACAACTTTTCTGTCACATAGCGATCTGCATTACACGTTCATCAACGGGTACACACTGGCGAGAAACCGCATTCTTGCGAATATCCAGGGTGTGGAAAGACTTTCGGGGACTCGAGCAGTCTCGCACGGCACCGGCGAACGCACACAGGAAAACGACCCTACAAGTGTGAAGATCCAGAGTGCGAGAAAACGTTTACACGTCGCACGACGCTCACCCAACATATGCGAACTCACGATCCAACATGGGAACCAGATCCTAACATGTGGGTGTCCAAGCTTAATGTTGTATCCATAGGTACTGATTGGATGATGCAGAAAATACAATTTCAAAGCCAAAAAACAAAAGGTTTCTGACACAACGGAAGATCTCGAGCTAGAAGAATCAGTGCGCACTATTTCTGCACTATTTTCGCAGACTGGGGGCGTCGCAACCAGGCCCCTGGTGGCTAGTGCACCGGGTGAGCCACTTGAAGCCAGAGTGGCAAGTATCAGTGCAGAGATCGCTGCTGCAATTGCCCAGGCATCTTCACGAGCGCTGGACGAGGACGAAGATGAAATGGAGGAAGAAGAGGGGGTTGACGATGATGATGGATGGTGCTCTGGGCATGAAATTGGGAGACCTGAGAGCATAGTGCCCAATACGAGCGGGATCAGAGGCAGTGGTAGTGATGACAATGGTGGGAAGGGTATTGCAGGCGTGGAAGACAACGATGAGGACAGCGACACTTTTCCTATCCCACTACGGACACGCAAGGGTAAGGAACCGGTTTCTTTGGTAGGAATCAAGAGGAAACGATGATTAAGCTCCTGTCGGCCGGCTCGTGTATGTATTGATATTCTGCTTTTACGTATTCGCTGTATAATCACAGGGAATTCATTCACGTTCGGGGTAGCAGGGTCTCCGACGTATGCCGGATCTAGTGGGTACTGTGAGAACAACCTGCTGAATCTTGACAACGACACTGGGAAGCGAATCCATCATCAAGGTGTTTATTGAAATCTCCGTTTCCATCCGCATAGCAGACGGGCAGATATAACGCTTAAGTATTGTGAAACATTTCCATGTTTCCTTGCTCGCACTTTACAACACCTTACCTAGAACTATAATGGCGTCGGTCTCAGAACAACCCCCTAGCACGGATCTGATCACCTTGAGCAGGTGAGCATGGATATGTTCCGGTAGAGTGCGAAGCTAGACACTGACGACTTGCAGACATGTGATGGACGATCAGCTGCGACTGGGAACAACCGCTACGGGAGATCTCACTCTCTTGCTCATCGCTATCCAAGTGACTAGCAAGTTCATCGCAACCAATGTACGAAAAGCCCGGCTCATCAACCTGTATGTCATTTAACTACACGAATGCTTGTATTTGGAACACCCCTGATATAACAGTCAGTGTCGGCCTTGCTGGCGAGACCAATATCCAAGGCGAGGAACAGAAGAAGCTTGATATTCTATCCAATGACATCATGGTCAACGCCCTGCGGGCGTCTGGAAAGACCGCAGTCTTGGTCTCGGAGGAGCTTGACAATGCTATCATCATCGAGGAGAAAAACAGGGGAAAGTACTGCGTAGTTTTCGACCCGCTTGACGGCAGTAGCAACATCGATGCCGGTGTCAACATCGGGACTATCTTCGGCATTTACGCTGTGGTGCGTCTCTTTCACGTTGATATCTTCATTGCCTGATCCGCTTTTGCAGAGACCGGACTCTGATGGAACTATAGCAGATGTGCTCAGACCAGGGAATGAGATGGTTGCTGCAGGATACACCATGTTAGTCGTCCATATGACTGCCTTTCCAAATGTCCTCACATCCATCTAGGTATGGTTCCTCAGCGAACTTGGTTCTCTCCACTGGGTCTGGTGTCAACGGCTACACCCTGGATGCCGCTCTTGGAGAGTTTATCCTCACTCACCCTGATGTATGAAGCCACCTCCTATCTCGTACCCGTGATGTTCCTAATCTATTCTCCAGATAAAAATACCTCCTCGCGGCAAAATTTACTCCTTCAACGAAGGCAACTCGATGTATTTTTACCCTCCCGTGACCAACTACCTAAACTCGATCAAGTATCCGAAGACTGGTTCTCCTTACTCTGCTCGGTACATCGGGTCGATGGTTGCAGATGTGCACAGGACACTGTTATATGGAGGGATTTTCGGCTACCCTGACGATAAGAAGAGCAAGTCTGGGAAATTGCGATTACTATACGAGGCATTCCCCATGGCCTTCCTGACCGAGCAAGTAAGTGTTTCAAGGTGGACCCTGGTTAACTCATTACTAACCGCATTACACAAAGGCCGGTGGAGTCGCAACTACGGGCACGAAGCGCATCCTTGACATTGTCCCAACGAGCATACATGAGCGGTGCTCTGTGTTCCTTGGGAGCCGGGATGATGTGCAAGACCTTATGAAATTCTATCCCAGTGAGAATGTATAATCAAGACTAGCGACTAGTGATACGCTTTTGTATCGAAGTATGTACAGCCATGTTCAATGGATTAATTTTGTGAGGATGATTCATCATCGCGTGGTTTTTGCGTGGATAGCTTCGCCCAATGAGCTGATTTGAAATTGAAAGTCCTCGGAAACACGATTTCTCGCCGCTCGGAGCTTTGATAGACTAGTTCGAGGCTTTTGGACGTCACAGGCTGGGCCTTTTATCAGATTCAGGAGTGCTGGCATACAGTCATCCTCAGTAATGCGTAAGCATTGGCAGTTCCAAGAAGGTGTGTGCTTAAGATCCATGCTGGTGAATTTGATGGCCATGTTTGTCGGACAAGATTGCTAAATCCCTAAGGCCTTCGGTCTTCGAATTATAGGAGACTTCGACGAATGAGATTTGACGCGATATTTGCGCAATAGCACGCGCTGTTACCATTGTTGGGCCAGTACGAGACGTGTTCGAGAGATTATACTTAAGGAGGACCCTCAGTACGAGAGACGTGTACGTACGTGTAAGAGTCGGAAACAAGGTTCGAGTGTTGGCATTAAATTTAATATTGACAACGCGGTATCATGGCGGTTTTAGGTTCACTAGCGGTGCACCCCCCAGATTCCCGAACCTAATTATTATGCAACATTTACATAAGTTCTTGACGAAATAACTCAAACACCCTCGAGGACAACCGGTATACTCTTGATCTACCGCAGGGCTGAAGATCGGTCCATCGGCGCCGTAGCCCAAGATGGTTCCTGGTATCACGGACAAACATACAATGTGCTGTCACCTGCCAGGTCCTGCCTTGTCAGACTCAGCTTATCGGAAATATTGGAAATATTAGTCATTTTCTGCCAACAGCGCTTAGTGAGCACGCAATAAGTACCAGAAATCTAATCAGTCTATTTTTCACCACACCCCCACCAACTGTCTTACACGCATCGCCATTATCAAACAATAACTCACGCCATCTCGACTCATCCATGGCGCCGCACTTGCAAGGACTCAATCTCGTCCATAATAATTCTCCTGCACCACAGGACACTCATGACCTCCTAGCATCCTCGCCTTTCCCCGACTTCTCAGCCCACCTTGACCTGTGGACAAATCTTGCGTTTGAGACTGATGAACCTCTGAGTCATATCAAGGGAAAGAGAAAGTCGGTGGACGAATCGGAAGAAGAAAGTGCTGCATCTCCTTTAGGCCTGCCTACCCATGACGGCCACGAAAACGTCGTGCACCCGGCTAGCACTACCATCACAGCCCACTCCGAGGCCCAATCCCCACAGTTCGATCTGAATGCGTTATTGGCTGGATTTGGCATTGACCCAATCTCACTCCCGCAATTGGCGCCCGCACCCGCGGAGAATGTGACAGCGCCTTCGCTTGCACAATTGCTTGCTTTGCATACTGCTCAAGGAGGGACTTATTCTGTACCCCCTCCTCCCCCTGTTGTACATGCTCAGCCTGCCTCACAGCCTGCTACTAAGCGGGCTCGTACATCCAAAAACTCGGCGTCTACGGAGGCATTCGACCCTGCCTCCCCGCTTTCGCCCGCTGGGGAAGAGACCCAAGGTGATTTCATGAATCCCTTATCCGCCGCGGAAGACAAGCGTCGCCGCAATACCGCTGCTAGCGCACGGTTCAGATTGAAGAAGAAGGAACGGGAAGCCGCGCTTGAGCGGCGCGCAAAAGAGCTTGAGGAACGTGTTGTTGAACTTGAACGCGAGTGCGAGGGCCTCCGTAGGGAGAATGGGTGGTTGAAGGGGCTCGTGGTGGGCGTAACTGGCGCGGGTGCGAAATAGGAGGTCAACGAACGGCGTAGCGCCGTGGACGACAGTCTTACTGAGTGAGGCTTAAGCGCCCTTGGCGTTTGGTGCCGGTGACTTCTTGCCATATCCCTTCGCGGGGTGATTGGGAGGGCATTGTTTAGGAAGAGCTTGACTTTCTATCGCACGATATTGTGACGATGGAGCATCTTGTGGAGACCACTAAGATGGTGGGCACCATGAAGTATTGACCAGACTCTGTATTATTATCGATAATTTTTGATTGTTTTACTACCCTTTCATGAATTCGTTATTGAGATACGGCTCTTATCATGCTAAGTTAAGTTCAGGCATAGATATGGTTTGTGATCCACCATGGTTGACAGTCGTGTGTTTGCGGCCGGTTTATAACCGATACCTTCTATCGTTCTTTAGGCATGTGTCCAGTCTATAATCAGCTGTTTATTTGGCCTTGTTGAATTCTCAAGTCCATACCTAAATTAGGTATTCTCGATGGTCCGTGCGTTAGTGAAGAAGGTATAAAGTGGCTGTCTGAACGACTTGAATCTTTACCACTCTGGCCTTTTGGCTTAGATCAAGTGTAGTATCTGTTCTTAATAGTTTAACCACTATTATGAGGGCACCGCCCTCATTCTTTGGTTATCAAATTTTTGCCGCCCTTGTCCTCTCGAGCTCTGCTTGCAACTCGAGGGGTGTGATGACCTTGCTACTGCACTATCGGCTTGTGTCGTCGGGGGTTCCTTTTTCGGAGTTCTTGTCTCTTTGCCGAGTTGGTCACTCTGTAGTCTTTTGACTACTTATGGCCTTTGGCAAACAGATCATGCAACTTTGTTTTGTATTTCGTATGAGATCTTATTCAATGTATCGGGTGTAATTTAGCCTCGGCTATCCCAAATATTGTCGGTAGAAGTGTGCAAGGAGCTAAATGACTAGGTTTGAGACCGGCCTGGCCTATATAATTATGGACAAGTCAAGTGGAAGGACGTATGTCAGACTGGTCACGAGTCTACTAAATGACCGCATGACGTTGGTCGGACAAATGTTCATGCATATGGTGCCACTTGCTTTGAAACGAATAAGGGAGCGGTGAAGCGCTGGGGTGCCGACGCCTCTCGTTTTTGCGTTCAGATTATCCTAGTCATGGGTACAGGGCTACCGCTATGGCTCAAATTTCTCGATCAGGCATGTGCCCGTTGTTTTGACCCAGAGGAAGTGCTGAATCCAATTTCTACAGACATCCAAAATCGTGACCACATTGACTGCCGCAGTCCTTCTCTATACCCGTTCTGCAGGTGTCGCATATTTCGTGACTGGCGCGGTCTTATGTGCAGCGCTTGCCAAGTCCATAAAGAGGGCAATACGACAGGAACGCCCGGTACTGCACTCCGGACGCAAAGTATCTTATGGGTGCGCAAATTCCAGTGACGCATACAGCCTGATTACATCGTCAACACACTCCTGCAGAATGCCTAGCTCACATGCGTCCGCATGCACCTTCTTCGCCACATATATTACGATAACTTGCCTTCAGCTACCTGTTCACCCTACCTTGCCCAGTTCTGCTATGTTCGTTCCAGTGGTCATCTTACCGTGGACATTCATGGTAGTCGTGTCAAGGGTCTGGTTGGGCCATCACTCATGGCCGCAGGTTGCGGCAGGAACCGCCCTTGGAGCCTGCTGTGCTAGCTTTTGGTTTAAGCTATGGATGGACGATGCAGCTGACATCAAGACAACTGCATGGGAAGTCGAAGCGATGGTAAAATCATGGCTTGAACAATGATTTCATGAGCATGTATATACCGATTCCCTACACTTAGAGACACTTATGATTTTTTGTTGGTGACTGCAGTGAGTGATCTGTCGGCTGTGTTTCTATCTTTCCGCTAATCTTGTTTCGGAAAGTTTTTTTTAGACATACACTATTTCCTGCCTTGAAGTAAATTTCTTCTCCTTGCGGCTGTCAGGCATTGGGTTTTTGTTCAATCGTTTCCCCGTCTTTGTTGTCAGATAGACTCAGGATATACGACGAATGCAGGTCAGCGTTTATAGGATATTTCTGTCTCCTCTAACGGTTTCCGGAAGAATGGGGTTATATTCAGTTCATTGCTATAGGTCGGGATAAGTTAGACCGGCTGGTGTCTTTAACTGCCAAGCATGGTCGTCGCCTCACGCTAAACATTCCTTCTCGTCTTCATGGTCTGATTGGGAAACTATATTTTCGCTGTTGCCAAGTAGGACGACAATTCATGTACTTGGTTCGCGTCTAGTAGTAGTAGTATGTGTTGGTAGACGGACTTAGCCTACTAATTTTGTGTCGAGTGACCGATGCATTACGCGTGCCAGGGTCTCCCTCCTACTGGCGATACCTGACTAATGTAGTGTGTCAACAGAGAACTACGAGAGGTTCGACTATGTTTGCGGTCCACATGCAGTCGGCAACCTAGGCTTAACATGAAAATAATTGCACGATAGGAATTTGACTCGTAGGAAGGCCATTACACTCACCTGCTGTAGAGTCTGGGTTGGCGTTCATGGTATTCATTGGTACCTGAACCATACCGAGCAGTCGCAAAACTCATTAGCAAAGAAGCGTCATCGAAAACCTAGGCCAACAACAGATCAGTAAATTAGAGTAGCAGTATTGAAAACAAATGCATTGGTGTCGCCTGAGTAGTTCAGGAGATACTTAATTCAAGCTTCGGCGTTGCGTGCCAGTTTAGTTTAAAGTCCGACAGTTATCTAAGACTACCATTTTTAGACGTGTATTGTGCGAGGGGTCGTGTGCGTGTACGGTGTGTATGTGCGGTCAACTTCGAAATGTACTCGGCTTTAATTTAGCCTCAGCTGTCCCATTGTCGGTAGAACCGCGCATGGAGCTAAATGACCGTATAACTGTTGGTTGGACAAATGTTCATGCATTGCTTTGAAACGAATAAGAGAATGCCGACGCCTCTCGTTTCTGTGTTCAGATTAATATCCAAGCGATGGGTACAGGGCTACCGCTATGGCTCAAATTTCTTGATCAGGTATGTGCCTGCTGTCTCGACCGAGAGGAAGTGCCGCGGCTGAATTCAATTTATACAGGCGTCCAAAATCGTGACCACGTTGACTGCCGGAGTCTTTCTCTATACCCGCTCGGCAGGTGTCGCATATTTCATGACTGGCGCAGTCTTATGTACAGCGCTTGCCAAGTCCATAAAGAAGACAATACGACAGGAACGCCCATTAGTGCGCTCCGGACGCAAAGTATCCTATGGGTGCGCTAATTCGATCCACTTCCAGCGACGCATACAGTCTGATTGCATTATCAACACACTCTTGCAGAATGCCTAGCTCACATGCGTCCGCATGCACCTTCTTCGCCACATATATTACGATAACTTGCTTGCACCTACCTGTTCACCCTACTTTGCCTAGTTCCGCCATGTTCGTTCCAGTGTTCGTCTTACCATGGGGATTCATGATAGTTGTGTCAAGGGTCTGGTTGGGCCATCACACATGGCCGCAAGTTGCGGCAGGAGCTGCCCTTGGAGCCTGCTGTGCTAGCTTTTGGTTTAAGCTATGGATGGATGATGTGGCTGGCATCAGGACAACTGCATGGGAAGTCGAAGCGATGGTAAAATCATGGCTTGAACGATGATCTCAGGAGCGTGCATATATCCATTCCTTACGCTTAGGGGCTTTCATGATTTTTTGCTAGTGACTGCAGTGAGTTCGGTCCGCTGTGTTTCTATCCTTCCGCTAATATTGTTTCGGAATTTTTTTTTGGACGTACGCTAGTTGCCGCCTTGAAGTAAATTTCTTCTTCGTGCGGCTGTCAAGTGTTAAATCTTTGCTCAGTCGTTTACCCATCCTTGTCAGATAGATAGACTCACGATAAATGCAAATCAGCGTTTATGGAAGATTTCCGTCTCCTGCAACGGTTTTCGGAATGCCACCTGAAGTCATAGATCTGAATCATGTTGATATGCCTGTGAGCGGAATGGGGTCACATTGCTATGTAGCGCCCGAAGTTCAATTCACCGTTATAGGTGAGGATCAGGTAGACCGGCTAGGTGTCTTTAACTGCTAAGCATGGTCGTCGCCTCACACTGAACATTCCTTCTCATGGCGCCTTCATGATCTGATTGGGAAATTATATCCTCACCGTCGCCAAGTAGGACGACGATTTATGTACTTGCCAGTGGTTCGCGTCCATGTGTTGGACCTTGTTAGACGGACTTAGCCGTAGTACTAATTTTGTGTCGCGTGACCGACGCGTTACGTGTGACGCGCCTCCTTGAAAGCATGCAGTTTCAGTTTCTCAGATTTCTTTTCACTCGTACTTTGTCCAAAATCGAGAATGAGTCTGCGCCGATTTGCCCAGGCCAACCATGCAGCAAATACTCCAGGTTCACCACACTCTCCGTCGCCTAGGCTGAATGGTGTAACTCATACTCCAGTCACGCCCCGCACACGCGTGTCATATGTTCAATCTCCATCTTCCACTCCTTCCATATCTTCCTCTACGCCATTCGACTGGGATGCTGCACGGTCAAGGAGACCACCACCTTATGCTTCGCCTCTTAGCGCAAAGCGTAAATCTCGTATGAGTACCATTCCGGATGGGCTCAGGCCACTGTCAAAGAAGGTTGTGAAAAAGAAAGGCATATTTGAGAGGTCGGTGATTGTCTCGAGCGTTTGTGCCTATTTGATTGATGAGCTTGGTCATTACACAGAATCACAGCGTTACCTTCACAGATTATGTTCGAGATCTCACTGTTTCCTCACAACCTACCCATGCCGGCTCCGAGAACAACCGGATGGCTCATCGGGTCTAGCATGCACCTGCTGCACCTTTGTCTGCGTGTATCTCAGATACGTGCCACAGCTGACTCAGACATCGGCTGGGAAGACTTGTATTGGGAACGTAGCCAACAGAGTTGGTTTGACTGGGTAAGCTACGCTCGACACTGAGTCTTACACGTCCTTACATGTCTCTCGCAGACCATTCCGATGACGGTCGTTCTGTTGGCCGCCTCGACGTTGAATGCAATGCACCTCTTCACGCAAAGCAAAACGTATCGCCTGCATCGTCGAACCAAGGCGGACCCCGTGTCCTCACCACATACCACGTTTGTAACCTCTCCCGCACGTGCGCGATCCCTTTCTTCCGACGAGCCTTCTCCGATAGCCTCCTTCAAAACTCGCATCCTGCGCGTGATAAAAGTCGTCATCATCTTCCTATGGACATGTTTCATCTCCTTCTGGAAATTCCTGCTTGGTATTTCCACCCCCACGCCTTCATCATCTTCACCCGCACGAGGTGCACCTGCAGATCAAATTCAACAGCTTGAGGTCTGGACTCCAGGAGAGCTTGAGCGCGTGCTTCTCAGCGTATATTCCCCTGTCCATGCTCTTATATGGATGTCTACGGGTCCTACGAATTGGATACTTATGACTGCTGTGATGGGTGCCGTGGGCGTGCAAACCAGCCTTCTCGTACAGGCTTATGAGGGTCTTGTGAAGGATCGTGCTATTCTTGCAGCTGAAGTTATGCATGAATATAACGAAGGGGTGAGTTATCATCGGGTCTTTGGCAGGATGTTTCCCGCTGACATGACCATTATCTCAGTTCGTGTATCCGCGAATGAATACTGTGAAGAAAGACGTCGCTGTCATGACCCATCAATCGGAGATGATAAACATCTGGGAAGACTAGCGATCTCAGATTATCATCTCAGAAATAGCTACAAGTCATCGATTCATCCATGAGAAAGTATACCTGCATGTAGATTGGACTATCATCAGTACATTCACCCTAATATTCTGGACCGTAGTGTCCGAGACCTGATATACATATTGATTTGTGTATTTTATTCGTACCAGCTTGTCCCCAGCTCGTACCTCAACCACTCGCCTATTATTCACCTACGTCACTCGTTCCCTTGCGTTCTTTAAGCTCATCAACCGAGCTCCATTCTTTTGTGCATTGCTCTTGGTTTTACATGTGAACAAGGACTGGAAACTACCTTGCCGAAACGGTGCTAAAACTTTATATATAACGAATTCGCGGTGTAGTAAGCCGTGGAGCAAATGTTATAGATGCCACGTCGCGTCCCACCACTTACCAGCTGTACTTACTATTTGGTTGTCAAAAGACAGAGTTATTCTTCCAAAGTCTTGTTTGTCTGAAAGACAGGAGCTTCAAGGACGCATCTCGAAGTGAAAACTGGGCATGCACTTATGCTGCCATCGGCCATGACCAGCACATTCACGGCCACCCTGGGGTTACTCTCGCTAACTCTCTTATACATCTGCTACCACGCAGCAAATGACGTCCGTCTGACAGTTTCTCCACAAGGATGTCGAATGTCATGGATGTCTCCATCTTACCTCCTCCAACACGAATTCAATTCTTCATGGACGCCGTTAGCACACCGGTATTCACTCTGGTTATACCGCGAGGTGGGATGGGATCCTAACCAGGTGCGTGTCTATTAACCACTCCATTAGCTGCAATCCGATAACTAATGCTCAAGGACTCGAAATGATTATCTCCGAACCCTACTACTGATAAAGGTCATGGGTGTACCAGTTCTGTTCATCCCTGGAAACGCTGGCTCGTCGCACCAAGTCCGGTCCATTGCATCCTCTGCCGCAAGACAATATTTTTCGTCTCCTTTTGTCGTATCCAGCGACTTTACGGATCGTGGAATTCAGTCGCTGGACTTTTTTGCTGGTAGGCTCAAATTTAACTTCACGTAGCTCAGATCGGTGTCGCCATAAGCTACCACATGTTGACAGAGTCTCGCTGACGTGTATCCTTTGTCTAGTGGAATTCAATGAAGACCTTTCGGCTTTCCATGGACCTACTATTGAGTCACAGATCGAATATTCCGCTGCGGCGATAAGTTACATCCTCTCACATTATCCCCCTAATACCCGAATCATCGTCATGGGTCATTCGATGGGCGGCATCGTAGGGACCGCTCTTCTCCCATCTGACGACATATCTGCATTGATAACCATGTCCACCCCACACACGCTACCGCCCGCCCGCTTTGACGCCCGTATAGATGAGATATACCGACGAAACACTGAATCTTTGGCGAATGACCCTACGCCTGTCGTCTCGATATGTGGAGGTGCAACAGACATGATGATTCCGTCTGAGTCCTGCATTCTACCAGATCCCAGAGGTGGAAATCCGGGAAGTGCTGTTTACCGTCGTACAGTCTTCACATCTGCACTGGAGGGTGCGTGGACTGGGGTTGGTCATCGCGAAATGGTATGGTGTCATCAGGTGCGATGGCGGGTTGCTCGTGCTGCCCTCGAGCTTGGAGGAGCAAATTCCGATGTAGACATGGCGGTCATATTGGATACCTGGCTTAGCAGAGATGGCCGTTTCCTTCCTCCCGCAACAGGCATAGAGATCTCCGAGGCAACGACTTACGAGGCTCTCCCTGAGGGTATGGATCTAGTCTTGAGAAAACCCATTGGATCTCGGACATACCTCCTCCCTGTACCGCGTGCTCTCGAAACGAACGCTACATTTATTTTATTTGTATCACGAGGCAGCATATCACCCATTGCACCCCAGCATTCGACCAAACTGCAGGCGTTACCTTACTTTTGCGTTGGACGCTCGACATCACCAACAGCACATCAATCCTCAGAGTCTGTGTCGTGTGTACCCCTCGAGCCCAGTACTCTGAAGCTCTTGCCAAGCCCTATACTGGGAAAACCTTTTCCAGTACCGGATGAGGGGTCCGATGAGAGCGATGGCGTAGTCCTTTTCGAGGCCACAGTACCACGTACACCCAGTGATGCGGAGGACGCTTGGATCGGTGTTCACGTTAGCGCTGCCGGTGAAGATGACTGGCTGTTTGGAGGATTTGACGAGACTCTGACTTTTCCAAGTGATATTGGCGTCTTTGGTCTGTTTTCACATCCCTTGGGCTGTTCGTTCTTTTAAATTTTGATTGCATGATAGACATCGTTGCTGGTGACGCAAAGCTTTCGCTGCAACCTACTGAGCATACTTTGGTACGGAGGCACATTACCTTTCCGAAGTTGCTCTCGAACGCGCTCTTGGTGTACACACTCAATCCAAAATCAGCCCGTCCCACGGCGTCTTGTGCACGTACGTTTATGGTGCTTCAGTATCAAGAACATTGCTGATGATTTTCTCGATATAGGTTCTCCGCCCTTGCTCCCCCCGCTTTTGGTACACAAGTCTCACTCTGCAGAAACTCATTATTATTGCCTGGAACATGGGACATCAGTTGCTCTTCATACACATGCATCAGCGCCATACATACCCCTCTCAAGGGTTTCTCCGTCCTATAGTTCAGAGCTCTGGATATACTCGACTGGCACTGGCTGTGAAGATGTCAACGAGTTTACTTTGACTATCAACTGGTGGACGACCATTGGGAGGGTTGCTACTAGGTATCCCACCACCCTAATAAGCTGGGGTGTAGGTGTAGTTGCGCTGTTGATGTTTCAGGCATGGCGCGTGAGCGGGAAGGGTGCAATGCCGAGTGTGTCACAATCGTTGGTCGCCTTTATCTGTCGCCTCCTGCCCAAACTGCTTGCTGCATCCTTTGTTGTAGCCCTGTTGCCCTTGAGCCCTGATTACTACTTAGGAACTAGAGGAGAACCGTTTCTCGGATTTCTTGCGCCAGTCCTGCTGGTTGTCGCCACAGGTCTAGTATGTGTCAGCTGGTGGCTCATGTTACTCCTCATGTGGCCTTTGAGATTCCTCACCCGATTGCTACCCCCGAAGTGAGTTATTATCAGCCATGGGAACAGTATTACTGAAACAATCCGCTCCACAGGAGCAGGCGACACGATGACCTGGCAATGCCACGAAGCACCGTTGTCTCTCTTATTTCCATCTCTTTTCTGGTGTTTCTGGTGGTCCCATGGCAAATTGCGTTTATGGGATGCTGGTTGATTCATTTACACACATGTGCGAGCTCAGCACATCGGAAGCCTTACCCTGGGTCTGTGCCTTCTCTCCGAAGCACACCCATCGAATCGTTTCCTCTGCGCGAGCGCTTTGACGGCCGCAAGGATGACACACAAGACACTGAACCCAAAGAAATAGAGCCCTCCCAAGAACCTGAAATTCAGGACGTGCGCCAGGTTCAGCGTTTGGCCATCATCACCGATGCTCTGAATGCTACCCAAGCTTATCATGAGAACACGCATCTCCTGTTGCTGATGACTTGGCTTCTGCCATTGTCAATGCCTGTGCTCGCGGTTTGGGTGCGAACCCTGATGACTGCTGGGTACACGGCCCCGTTCAACGGCGACCATAATGTCTTCAAGGTTGTACCGTTCCTTGTGCTTGTTGAGTTTACAAGTCGCAAAAAAAGTGCTTTGTTATCGTACGGAAAGTGAGTGTTGTTTGTTGTTGTCGAGATCGAGACTCATTAGTATACATCACAGCACGGGATCATACCTTCACTGGGGATACCTCATCGTCGCCTGTGTGTCATTCTTGCTTGGCTCCCGGGAGGCATACAGGGTGTTCGATGTTACGAGTTTGTGCATCGGGTGCGCATTAGTCGTAAAATTCAGTCCTGTCCGATTTGGTAGACGCATTGCTACATGATGATTCAAAGGCTACTTGTTTGCACTGTGCACATATTCACTTTTCGCTGCCAATGGAACGGTTACGTAGAGGCGGCTCACACCATGGAGAAGACACACCGCCCGCTTCTATGGTATGAGCTGGCTTGGATACGAGCGCCTGTGATCCGACTCACCAAAGCCCGATATGTCGCAAGAATTCCCTCTGTCATAACTCAAAGAACTCCCATTGCTATTACGAATTATATATGAAGCTTTCGCTACCGCCCTTGTATTTTTCCCTCCCAGTGTTGTACTGTCACCACCACCAGTTCCTCCATGATAGTCTACACGGGAGGATTGCTCCACAGTCATAGGTGTCGGGCGAGTCAGTGCGAAGACGCGGATCAGTAAAAGATTGACATTTCTTAGTATCGCGTGGTTATGATGGTGCATTGTGAACTGCACCTAATGATATCCAGGGTCACCGACCTCCGGCAATTACGTAACAAAATTTGTGATCGTTTATGTTACGAACAAAAGGTTGATGGTTGTTGTTTGGTTCCGAAAGTGATTGTGCAAATAAAGGGATGAACGCAAAAGGCAAGTCGAGCAATTGGTTCATTTTTCAACCTGTTTCTTTCCTTCCTTCCTTCCATCTGCGCTGCCCCCCAAACTCCAATATTGAACTGTTTTTCAACTACACTTCTAGAACCTGATCGCCGTTGTCATCTAGACGGCAACCCTTTTTGAATTTACCCACCTTTTTTTCAAGACGTCCAACCTGCGAGCACCAACCCATACCACCGTTTCGCCTTCTAGCTCAATAAGCGTACGAAACGGTGCAGCAAGAATGGCAAACCCTTCTTCATCACACCATGAGCGTGACCGCGAACGTGAACGCGAGCGTGAACGAGAGCACCGTCACCGCTCAGAGCGACACCACCATCACCGAACCATTTCTTCAACAACCCTCCTACTCGTCCTTTCCCTAGTTCTTGCAGTTCTCGCAGTCATGCTTTCGCTACCCGCATCCAGTAGTACAAAGGCAGCAGCAGGAGGTGCAGGAGGTGGAGCAGAGGATCCTGCTGCATCTGGACTCTGGGGTTATCTAACTCCCAAACGATCGCAAGCGCTTGTAGCTCGCGAGAGCTCTGTTGCTGGTCGTGAAGCTGAAGTAGCACGTCGCGAAGCAGAGCTTCTTGTTGGCGCACCTGGTGGTGTTCTTCCTGTTCAACAATCCCCGGTCGTTTGTCCTGTATGCCCTACCGCTACGGTCGTAGATTTCGCACCTGCTCAGACCATCATCAAAGAAGTCGTAAAGGAAGCAGACCTTGCACCTCCAGGGTGGTGGAAGGAGGCCAATGCTCGTGCCGAGGAGATTCTAGATCGCGAGCTCAGAGTTAGCGAACGAGAACGCGAGATTACTCGGCGCGAGGAGAGTGTTAACAGGAGAGAGCATGATTCTTCCAGACGCGAGGCTTGGATAATGGAGCAGCTTGTGTATGTTCCTTTATTCCAAGTAGTTATGATTGAATTACTCACCGAGCTCTTGTACAGTCTCATCAACAACGATGGAGCTTCCCTCGAGGAAGAAGTTTTTTATGAGCCTGCTGGTGGCAAGCGGAAACTCAAGGTACCACCAATCGTCCCGCGCCGTCCTGAGCTCTGAGACGAAGGAGGATTTTCCGTTTGTTTATGTCAATCAATAAATTCGGAAAATCTTTCTATTTCATCTTGTGTAACAGTCTGTATCTCCTCCTTCGTCCGGGCTTGGGGGACAACGGTTTCATCTCGTCCCCCTTGTCATCTTGCGGTAAAGTGGAGACCAGTTGGTGGTGATGGCTGCTTTTAGATACGACGCGATCGAAACACGCTACACGTGACGGCTAATGGCCATATCTTGATTTAATTTTGGAGTTATTTTCCATGCCACCAACTGGATCTCTCGTTGCCGCGAAAGAACAGTTTTGCTGACCATGTTTTTTTGTTTGTTCCATAGGAGCTTTCTCCCATGATAATCGCCGAAACTGAAACAAAAACCATCATTCAATATGAAACTTTACCTGCCTCCACTGTCACGGTTCCCCCACCTGCCAATACCCGTTTTGCTGCATTCCCTACGCCTGAAGTCTTTTCATCGTTCTACACAACTCAAATTCCCAGAACTACGGCCATCACTGTTGAAGAAGATATCATTCGTGAGCCCCTGCTGGCTGAGGAGGTAGATGAGTATGAGGTGGAAGAGTTCGAGGATGAAGATGTGAGAGCAGTTACACTGCGCCGCAATGCCCGGCCGAACCGGCGTCCGCCACCAAATTCACGTGGCTGGTTGTGGTAAATGGACCTTTTTCGCCAACTTTGCTCTTTTCTTTATTCCTTTAACCACCTGCTTCATCTTTATTCCTGTTTCTTTCTTCTTCATCGCTGCGTGGTTTCCTATGACTTCATTCTACTTCAGCCTTGCCATCTCCCTTTACACACGACACGACAACTCACGGTTCACGGACTGCGTTTGATACGTACGGATTGAGACGGCCTATGACATGACGATGGGATTCACTGCTTTCTTGAGTATGTAGTATAGGTTACGCTACAATTCTTTGACTACTTATAGCCCCTGTTCTTGGAAATATACAATTTAGCGGCGGGCCTTCGCTGTGCATACTTTCTATGGCTGTGGGAAATTTTGGTAAACCTCGTGTTAAGCTTTAGTCCTTTGTGTTTTATACCCTTTGTGTTTAGACCAATTGATAAATTCGAGTGGAAACTCCTGAACCGCGTCGCCACCTTACATCGCGTTATAGATCACTTCGAAACAATATCTCTCCAGCCATCCTTAGTTGTTGCCATCATCAATTAGCAATTGTCTGCGCCTGTCAGAACTCATCAGGGGTTTTTGCGAGCCCAGGCAATTCCAGCGATGGCTCAGACACGCTGTCAAGTGAGTTAATCGACGTGCCACTTCCTCCGTAGTATCCCAGCATTACTCCATTTCCCCTGAGCTGTCATGTCAACCGTTGCGCGCGTTTTTACTTACAGTGACAATTTAGTACTTCGATGAAAGTGGTAATAGTCGCAACGGAGGTTGTTTTGCGGGGGATGATCGATGCAAGTATGTTCATCCTGGAAACCCCGCTTGGGATACAGCTCAGAGTCGGGGTCCTCCAAGAGGTCGCGGAATGGGCAGAGGTGGAAATTTTGTGAGTGGATTTTGATATGCCTTTGATGATCGTTTTCACTAACCTTTCCATCTCTTTTAGGGAGAACCGAGAGGATCGTTTGGTCGTGGAAGAGGGCGCGGATCTGGCGCTGTCAATATATCCAGATCATCTTCGGCATCGGGATGGGATACCGGAGGAGGATATGACAATAATGCACAGAGCTCGGGCTCGGGCTGGGCAATAACAAGTTCAAGTGCAAAAGGTAGACTGGGCTCCTTTATGTAACTTGGCACATCTAATGTATCATACATCTCAGATTCCGGTAAACAAGCTAATATTGCCACTGCTTCTCTGTGGGACACTGCCGACCCATGGGGTATGGGCTCAGACTCGGGAACAAAGGAATCTTCTTCGAAAGGCGGATGGGGTGAAAGCGACACATGGGGCGGCAACTCCGCTACAAAAGATGCCTCTGGAGGCGGATGGGGGTAATGCTCCCGGTGGCGACAAGTCTTCTAGTGCATGGGGCGCAGCAGAGACGATGGACACGACGTCGCGCGCGCAAGAGAAACCTAGGAGCTCAGAAGCAATGGAAACTTCTGCAGGCGCATGGGGTGACACCTCCAATAACGGGTGGGGCAATCCTCCTGGTGGCGACAAAATCTCTAGTGGATGGGGCGCGTCGGGCACGACTGAAATGGCGTCGCTTGCACAGCCGAAACGTAATGATGCCGACCAAGAGAATCACAGATCTAAACCATCACCAGTCCCTCCACCACCACGGCCTCCGCGCCGTGGCTCGCGTGCACAAGACGACGAGGAAGACACGCGTCCTTTGAAGATGACCGGGACGAATGACGTCCCAATGGTGAATACTAGATGGAACAAGAAAGTGGATACGACAGCGCCCCCGCATGCGGAGTCTTCTGAGAAACCTCGCCTTCCGCCGCTCCAGACGAGCGCATTAAGCAACGCGATTCTCAGAGAGCCACCAGCTCCAATGTCTGCCAGCCGCTCTGAGGACGACCGTATGGACGTGGATAGCTGGAGGCAGGATGCGATAGCGATACCAGAGAAAGCTCGTGATAGGTCACCTTCCCTATTGACAGCGACAGGATCAGCTGTCAATCGCAAGAGGAAATACGAAGGCTCAGACCTCGAAAAGAAGCAGGAGATATGGAAGGATTTTATCAGGTGCGTCAAGTCGAACGTTCGCGTCAAGATCCTCGCTGAATCAAACAATGCAGAATATGCGACCGCGCCGTTCGAGCGAAAGTAGATCTCACAAAGGCAGAGGCAGAGCGTCAAAACTGGAGAAGGATGCAGAAGTCTACTAACTATTCCCGCATCGGCGAAGCTGGCCGCAACCGCCTGGATGGACATCGGGCAGAACTTGAGAAAATTTGCGCCGGTCACTCAGATAAACTATCACAGGCGATCAGTGAACTTGCGGAGGTTGGAGACAAGTTGAAATCTGGCATAGATTATGAGCAGCGTTACAATATTGGACCCGAGGCGACGCGCTACGCAGAAGAAGTCGGGGCTTGGATATCAGATATCCGCCAACTGCTCATTGCCAACACCACCCAACACCCTCCGAATACTGACCAACCTACTTCTCATGAAGATGAACCATCTGAAGAACCATCAGCTATCCCAGACGGTCTGAATGCCTTGCGATCTCGTTTGGACAAACAGGAGGAGACACTCGAGGAACTGCGAACAGCGCTGACGCTCGAGTCTTCAAATAATTCTCTCGCTACTATTAACAACACAATCGACAAGAAGATAGATGTCCTGCGCAAAGATCGAGCAGAGGCCAAGGCCCAACGCGCTAAGCTTCCTCCACCGAAGGTTATCTTACCACCCGAGGCGACGGGCGCTATAGAAGATGTTTCTCGTAAAGCGGCGGAGCTAAGCGCGGCCATGGAAGCGCCTGTCAATGACGTTGCAAAGCTACTCATCCGTCAAAATGACATGCAGAAAACGCAGGCTTCTTTCAAAACTGAGAACGAGGAACTCAAAGAATCGATAGCCAAGGTAACACATTTAGCAACTATGTTTGATATCTCTCATTGTATCTCTTCTTTAGCTCACCGAGACGTCCGCTGCTAATCGGAAACTGATCCAAGAACAAACCGAAGCCATTCAGCGTCTCAGGGCTTCACTCGAGGCAGCTTCTGAATTACAACGCGTTCCTCCACCCCCTGCCGAACCCCCAGTCAAAGTCATGCTCGACGACCTTCGTACAGCAGTTGACGGTGTGCTGCATGGTATTGTATCACGCGAAGTCATTCCCACGATAAGTAGATTGCGCGACGATTGCTGGTCAGAAAACCAGCACTTTCACAAGGAGGTGTTTGAGATAATCTGGGATAAGATTGAGCCCAGCTTAAAGATTGCCGAAGCCGTCAACCGTTGGGCGTCAAGGTTAGAACTCTCTGCATCCTAATGCGTACCTCGTCAAGCCATCCGTCTATCACATTATCTACTTGCTTGTAAACAACCATCTTACCTGTTCAGCCTACACTAGTTAAGGATTAGTCGGTTACTTCCCTTAATGGTAAACTTTTGTACTTACATGATGAGTCGGTGTGTCGGTCAAAACCTCCGGCCTGGATGCTCCGGTTCACTGTCTCCAACGCTCTAAAACTCACCGTTGCACTGAAGTCACTGATTTATTGTTGAAATGAAGCAACGTCCTTGGAAAATAAAGCGCTGTAATGTGCGTGTTGGCGGAACGCCCAACTTTTGCATGGAGAACTTACTACATTTACGTTTCTTTGTTCCACTCTAGCTCTGGGATGACGACAAGAAACCAAGGCGGGTCAAAGGGGGGTTGACTGGTTGCTGGAGGAATGTCAATGATTGTTTCTTTGTGCATCCGACAGAAAGAGAATGGGACACAGCTGAACCGTCCTTCCCTCCGCCGGCACACGAGGTTGTTGATAACAACAACGAATTCCACTACGAGCTGAGCAGCAGACTTAGAAGACCAAGCGATTCTTCTGTATCATCAGAATCTCGTCGCGATCACCCTCGATACACTAGCCCGTCCAAAAGTCCCCGAGCACATCGGCAGGACAGTAGACGGTCACGTTCACCTGCCACATCAGTGGCTGAATCTGACAAACTCGAAAAACTACGAAGGGACGACGGCTATCACCGGCGCACGAGCATAGCAGGATCATCGTCGTCTTTCTCTAGACGTCGTACTCCCCCTTTGGATGATCGCGGGAGGCGTGGTGACCGAACTCGCTCACCAAGACCATTATCTCCACCGCGGCCCCAAATGACCATAACAAAGACCGTCATGCTTCCGCCCCCGCCTCCGCCTCCGCCCCCTCCTCAAGGAACTCCGCCAACGAGACCACTACCTCCCGTCCCTATACCGCCATCCTTCCTTTCTCTAGACAAAGACATAACACAAAGGCCGCCAGAAAACTTCCGAGCATTATCAGGAGATGATCTACGCAAAGTCTGGCATGAAAGAGTAGAGTGCGTTTTTCCCTGTGTTATAGCTATTGACTCGCGAGTTAATCGATCCCCTTAGTCTCCTTTTCGCATCCGTAAAGGCGCGCGAACAGTTGAACTATGCTGAGGCAGACTTGAAATTGAACAAACTAGGCGAGTCGTCGCGCATGGGCAACGTGTCGAACGTTCGTGCCAGAGCTCAGACGGAGATGCGGTGCGAGGCAAAGAAGAACGAGATATCCGATTGCATCCAAAGACTCACTGCATCAGATTTCTGGCCGGCTCTCAAACCACCTGACTTGCAGAGCGTGGAGGCCAAGTTTTCTGACATGAAGCAACAAATATCAGAGCTGAAAGATTTAGTCAGCGAGCTCAGTACATCTTTCTCTGCACTCCTTCGGTTAAAAGAATCCAGATCAGGCGAACCCCCACTGAAGAAGCGGAGGTTAGAGGGAGAGGACGCCACGGCTGGCCCTAGCGAAGTCACTTTCTCACTCAGTGCCTTGGATGGCATTCAAGCACGCTTGAGCGGTGTCGGCAGCCAGCTACTCGATCTCCAGAATGACATCTTGCAGCGCAACACGATCATGGGGGATGAGATTGAGTCTCGTATCGACGCTCGGCTGGAAGAGGTGGAGATATTCCCGGATGAAGATGATACGAATCCTCCGTCAGCTGTTGTGACTGATGTGGTGCATGCTGAGACCGCCAGGGCCCTGGACATAATCAATATGACTGGCCAACAGCTGGGAGAAGTGGCGCAGGAGGTTGCCAACTTGATGATCCAGAGCAAAGGCACTGACGACGAAGCTACGTGGTTGAGGCAGGAAAACGAGCAACTCAAAACTGAGATCGTTAAAGTAAGGAATGTCTCTGGAACCGTGAAAGTCTAGCTGACTAGTTTGCATTCAAGCTCAAGTCCTCGGCAGAAGCTGACGCCAAAGTGGTACAGCAAAATAACGAACAAGTAGAGGCTTTAGCGGTAGCTCTGCAGGCCTACATCTCACAAGCTCCGCCACCTCCTCCACAACCAGTGATTCCAACCCACGAATATCTCATGGAAGAGCTCGAAGATCACATTCTTTTCAGCTGCATGAAGACTATTGAGCCCCTCTTACGGGAGATGAAGGACGAGGTTTCGAAGATGTTAAATGACGAGAATAACGCTATGTATCAAACTTTATGGCCGAAGATTGAGCTTGTGTTACGCATGGTGGACACGGTCAAAAAGGGTAGCAATATCATTCTCGAATCGGACGAGTAGCGTGTCAGGGTCCGCTGGAAGCTATACTTCCAACACAATAATATAGTCATATATCCCTACCATAGCACGGAGAACATCCACTTGAATCCTCGTTGGCATTCGATGTTAATGATATAGATATATCCACATACTGCAACATTCAAGTGTAGACGTACAAACGCTCAGTCATATTCATCTTCCTGTCTGAACGCTGCTGAATATGCCAATATGGTACCATACACCAGTCTACACCCGAAACATTGAGCCTTGAGAATGGTGCAATTGAAAGGAACATACCCTCCGCCGATGATGGACATTACACAAGCGCCCGGTTTTACAACCTCGGAATGAGGTGAGTACGACGGGGAGCGCAAATCCAGTGACAACAACAATTGAAGTCAAGAAGCGGCCAAGGTCCACAGCACCCGTGGCGCCGTCACTTGAGGAAAACTCATCTCCTCCGCAGTGGGCAAAGAGGGCATTTGGTAGAGGAGCAAGCACGAACGTCAACGCTGAGAACACTTAGATAAGAATACCAGCGAAGAAAAAAATGTGCAAGCCGTACGCACCAACTAACAATGGCAACCAATTGGCCCATAGTGCACATGAGAGTATGATTAACAGGAATCCGACAGCGAGCACGAATGATAGCAATATTACAGCTGCACAATAATTAGCCGCCACATTCTGGTTTTGTCAGTGGTAATTATGCGCACTTTTGAGCCCCGCTGCCATCGTGAATGTGAGGACAAGAATGAGAGTGTTGGAGGGAAGCTTGCAAGCGTACTAGCACTGATTCTTACCCGCAGTGATGCTGACATAATCACGGTCCAGCATGCCGCCGGTTAAAACCTTGTCAGTACCAGCGAAAGGAGGTTGATCAATTGTTGATCAATGATATAGAACTTGCACGGAGTATTGGAACTACAATGAATGCGTGGCATTGCAATCGATGATATATAGAAATGCGTGGACTACTGAAGTAAGTATAATGAATGAATGCCTGACATGATTGATGATATATAGAATGGACTGCTGGAACATCTGAAGTATAATGAACGAATGTGCATGTGAGGTGTCGTATCAATCGATGATACATGGAAATGCGAGTCATACCGGGGCATCTGAAGTATAATAAATGAATAAAGATATAACGCGTAATACTATCTGATTCTTCTGGACGGATTCCGGAGAGTATTTGGCGGTCTATCTACCAATGCTCCCATCGTCGGCAGTCCGGATTTCAGAGTAGCCGGTTTCTTTAAGACTCTGGGAACTGCAGGAGGCGCGACCGGTATTTCAGTGAGGGTGGCAGTGGAGGAGGTTAATGATGACAGCGAGACTGTAGGAGGTGAGGGTGGAACTGGAGCTTGTGGTTCGTCTAACCACTCGCTGACTGGCGTGTCGACTTCCATTTGCTCTAGAAGGGTTTCTACGGGGTGCTGCGAAGGGGGAGGTTCGGAATTGTGTCTTGCTGGCTCTCCTTGCCTCCGCGGTTGAAGGATGGTATCTCGACTCTCCGTCAGCTCCCACTCATCCACGTATTCCCATGCCCGTTTTCGCGGTGTCATTCCAGTCGGAATGTCCTCACGGGTACCATGGTCAAGCAGTGACCGTGCTGTCTGGTGTAGTGAGGTGAGCCTCGAAGTCGTATTATTGCCGTGCTTTTCAATCGTGTCTGATAAAATTGTGCTCTGAAAGAGATCAGTGTCAGTTAGCAAGGGTACCTCATGGATAATGATGATTCTACTCGCCTCCGAAGCCACACGACCGCCGAAGCCTTCAACATTTCTTGAGCTAGGAAGCAATGCCTCGCTGCAGGTGCCGTAACTCGGTCTGTACGTCAGTCGCAAAGCCATTGGTAGTCTCGATGCGTGCTCTCTTGGCACGATCATGGCGATCGAGACCTCAAGGAACATGAGAGTCAAATGCGGCACGGATAAACAGGATCACTTACTTGCGCCAAAGGAGGTCTGGAGGGTCTGGCTTTGTCTCTGCAGCTCGCCAGTATAAGTTGTGGTGGCTGTTGTGATTGAGTTCTGCGTGGCCAATAAACCGTCCTTGAAGGCAACTTGAACAGATCCGACGGTCTGAGTATCTTGCGATCAGCAGGGCTAAATTCACCAAGCTAAAATCACTGACCTTAAGAGCGCCATCTCGTGTCCTCTTTCCTTCTGTACCTCTCCGCTCAAACGAGGTTATGGCTTCCGAGCCGCGTACAACGGCCTCGTTCATCAATTGTTCGTGACGCTGGCCAAACTCGCTGAATTCCTCTTCATGTGTGGCGTTAGCGTCGACGACGGTACCAAATGCTTCTCGCAGGTCGCGATCACGGGAAGCTACGAATTCCCCGAGTAGGCTTGATATGCGTTGCACGAGCACATCATTAGCCTTCGCAGACTTCACCTTCTCTGCCTCCACTAATTGAACGAAAAGCGCATTTTGCGCCTGGAGATGAGTGTTCTTCACCCTTGACATGTCATCCACAAGGGACTTTGACTGCAAAAATAACTCTCCATCGGCCTTGGCGAAGTCAATCGCTTGATTGACGGCGGAGTCGACAAGCGTCCCCATAGCCTTCAAAGCATTCTCTAACTGCGTCATGTCAGTTGGATGATTCAAATATGAATAGAACAATAATTACCGATGCGAAGTTACTCTGATTCGCAATATACACCTCGTTGTACATCATTTGGGATGTAGTTCGTAAGCTATCGGACCAGGCACTAAATGAACTCTTCATGGTCTCTTGTGATTCCTTAACTGCGTTCTGCATAGTTGCAATAGCCTCTGCAGATACATCATCCTTCGCGTTGATGATCCGAAGGGAGTCTTGAATGCGCTGGAGTTGCTGGTCAATACGCTCGGAGTGACTTGTAAGGATCTCGAATTCCTTCGTTTGGAACTGCTTCGCCTCTGCGCGCAGTGTCTGCGTGCTGTGGCTTGCGGTCTTCATGAAGTCCTCAAGTTTTGTCGAGAGCGATTGCACTTCGGAGGAGATAGACCTTCCATGAGAGGATACAGCTTTGAGGTTCGACGTAAACGTCTTGTTCTTCCGTTCTGGCAATAATCATTAGTTTGAAGAACCAACAGGGAAAGATGAAGCAACACATACGAAGTTTCTCAAAAAGCGCGCTAATGTCGTCAATGCTTTCAGCGGCAACTTGTTTCAGTCCTAAGGCCACCCCATCCAGCTTTTCTTCAGTGACTTGGTACGCCTGGCGCACGACAATCTCCTCCTCGAGAGCTCCTTTCGCCACCCTCAGTTGGCCCTCCTTGACTTCCAGCTCTCCTTCGACTTCTTTCAGTTGTCCCTTCACCTGTTTTAACTCCCCATCCGTCTTCATCAACAAAGCGATGCTTTGCTCAAACTCTTCCCTGACACTCCTTAACTGGCTCTCTCCAATCTCCACTTGCTTCTTAGCCTCTTCCATCTCCGTCTGCCTCAGCTCCTGTTCCGTCGTGAGCTGGTTCCAGGTCTCTTCAGAGAAAAAGATGCCGTTCTTCTCGCGTGCGGCCAGGACGTCGGCCTTAAGACGCTCGATCTCGGCCACATATTCTTTGAGCAAGGAGTTTCTTGTCATCCGCTGGTTGATCTCCGGCTTGTTGCGGATGGACTTCGCGCGGATGGCGTAGTCGAGGGTAGAGAGGGTCTCTTCCATGTTGGAACGTGCAGGGGAGATAGTGGCGATGATGTACGTCTTTGTACGGCCACCAAGCGAGTCTTGCAAGAGGCGGGTGAGTTTGGATTCCCTGCGATTTAAACGGATTAATATGACTCCATAACTTGCGAATCGAATACACTTACCGATAAGGGACATGTGTCGAACGCTCGACGAGGGCGTTTATAACACGACCCAAAGTCAGCAAGCTTTGGTTAATCATACCCGCTTCTCGGGCCCTCTTGTTCTCTGCTCCAGAGCGTCCGATGTTCTCTGAGCCTGCAAGGTCAACGAGGTTGAACTTCCCAACCTTTAGGAGGTCATCTCCCATGGAAGACGTCTCCTTAATATGAATAGTGATAGCGAATACGGAGTGCGAACGACTGGAGTGGTCGTTGAATTTAGTGGCTGCAATCTGCCGACGATGGCTACCTTTTGTGAGGAGGGCAAGTGCATCTGCAGCGTCTTTGACAGGTATCTCTTCGAGACCCTGTAATAAAAACACCTTTCTTGCTAGTGTCGTCAAAGATCTTGAGGCCAGCTTGGTTGTCTGCGGGGCCACCTTTTCCCATAGGCTGCGTGGATCCTGCAGGAGCGGACAGTTCGCTGGCGAGCAAGTCTCGAAGTTCCTCGTTGTAGAGCTCGACGAATGATATTTTAACACTGTAATCAGTAGCAGATGTCTCGAGTTGGTGGAACAATCGGAAAAGGACCCTCGGTATCATGCCTGCTTGGGAAGATGGGTTTCCCATCGGCGTGGGCGTCAGGTCGCCTTGCATAGTGTAACTGTAAACTCGTCAACAGTGATAACATAAGTAATTAGAAGGGGACGTACGTTTTTCCAGTTCCGGTTTGTCCATATGCAAACAGAGTACAGTTGTAGCCCATGAGGACTTCGTCTAACATGGGGATTAACAACTTCATGGTAAATCATAGCTTGGTCCGCTTCTGGGCCAAAGACGAGATCGAATGGATATGTTCTTGTAGGCGGCAAAGTAATAACGCCTAGGCTAGAGACAGGCGTGGACGTCTCGATGGTGACTTCCTGACTCTTTGCCCCGTTGGAACTGACGATGATGGGGGAGTTCTCCTGGATTTCGCGATCAGAACGTCTACGGCAGCGAATGGCAACGTGGATGTGAGTCTCCGAGTCGTCCTGGCCATTGGACTTAGAGCCCTTCAAGGTTGATGAGATTGCGAATGTATGCTCTGGGCGTTCTTCTGTCGGTGACGTGATTGTAGACAAGGCAGATCTGGACTTTGACATGGAAGATTGGGGTTTTGTATTAATTGTAGGTGCCCTTGGGCGGGAAATGGGCGGTCTTCTCGTAGCCATCGAGGATGTTGTCGACAGCAGCGGGAAGACTAAGGACGATGGTGTTAAGTGATCAAGCCCAAAACGCGTCCACTTGAAGAATCAACAACGCGACTGTGTCACGTGTATTCGTGGGAAGTGACCACAATTCTATTCCACTGTCTGAATTTTCACAAAGTTTATCTTACACTTGAGCAGCCATGGGAAAACGCAAGAAATCCTCTAGAAAACCAGCTGCGGCCACAGCGGCAAGGAGGAGAGAACCATTAGGTGCGTTAGATGCCTTTTGATCTGTTTGTTATAGCTGAATTGTCCAATAGATACCGCCTTCACTTGCTTGTTTTGTCATCATGACAAGTCCGTGACAGTAAGAGTCGACAGAAAAGAGGGCATCGCTCAGCTGGTGTGCAGAGTATGCGACCAGCGTTATCAGAGCAAAGTTAACCGTGCGTACCAGTCAGATTGCGCCAGTTTCCACCTCCTGATTATGATCCCGTTCCTCAACAGACTTGACCGAGCCCGTGGATATATATTCAGAATGGCTAGATGCTGCTGATGCGGCACAGAAAGAAGATCACGGCACTCGCAGGCCGGCTGCATCATCAAGCAGACCAGCTCCCGCACCACCTTCTGTCGGGAGTGATGACGATTGATCTGGGACTTGTAACTATCTTATCTTTTCCTGACACTGTACAACAGCAATTGCCTATCAACTTAGAATTTCGCCGATGCATCCGGCCTTAATCCAATTGTGTGACGCACCTGAAATCATTTGGGGATTATTTGAAGATGACTCCAGCTGGGTAGATCCTGAGCGGGTAATATCCGCATCGTATATTACTGCCCTTGTTAGCATGCGAGGGGTTGTAAGGGGAGGAATTTGAGCTTACAAGCCTACCGATTAGTAGACTGCAGCAGACAGTCACGGTGATCGAATATTTGACCTGAAACGGAACACGTGCTTTACTTGGCCAGTTTCTCTCATTTAGCCTTCACGACCTTGAGTTAGGTACTACTAGACCCGGGCCCGTGTCCAAAATCATTTCTTAGACTTCGAACCATTCGTCGATAGCGCAACTACTGGCCACACAAGTACCTTAGATTTTCTTTCTTTCTTTCCTAGACGCACCATCATGGCGTCCTCGACCAATATCAAGGTTGTTTGTCGGTGCGTCTTAACCTAGCTTCGGGATTCAATCAAGATGCACGAAGTGTCTCTAATCGCCTACTGACGCGATTGAATAGGTTTCGGCCCCCAAATGCTCTCGAACTCAGAGAGGGCGGCGATATCGTAGTCGCCTTTGATGAGAATCTTCAGACCGTGCAAATGAAGAACTCGCAGGCCGTTTCTGGGCCAGAGAAGGATGGATTCACATTCGACAGAGTTTTTCCGATGGGCACGAAACAACACGAAGTATTCGATTACGGTGTTAAAGAGTGAGTGGCTCCGAGAACCACGCGTCTTTGTCGTGTACCTCATCTGATTACCTCCTAATGCAGCATTGTGAAAGGTGAGAGAGGGCACCCCGTCTTGTGATATCGAGTGCCTTTCATGCACTGTTAAATCATTTCGCGGAAGGATGGTATTGCTAATACGGTAATCAGATGTCCTGGATGGCTACAATGGCACGGTCTTTGCGTATGGCCAGACTGGTAGTGGAAAGACATTCACCATGATGGTGCATTCAATTCATATCATTTTAAATTTCACTCCTGATTTTTGTTACCTAGGGCGCGGACATTGACTCTTCGGATCTGAAGGGAATTATACCCCGCATCACGGAACAGATTTTTAAATCAATCGTGGAATCGGACTCTCACCTTGAATATGTCGTCAAGGTATCCTACTTGGAGATCTACCTTGAACGTATACGCGACCTCCTTGCCCGTAAGATCTCGAACTCTTCCCTGTGAATCCACTGATGAAATCCACTTCAGCCCAAAATGACAACCTCCAGGTACACGAGGAAAAATCAAGAGGCGTGTATGTAAAGAATCTTTCGGATTACTACGTTAGCAGTGCTCGTGAGGTCTACGAGATAATGAGACAGGGAGGGGCCGCGAGAGTTGTCACTTCGACCAGTAAGTGTCTCCCCACGTCGTGGCGTTAACTTCTAAGTCACTCGTAACGGCAGACATGAACGCTGAATCTTCGCGGTCGCATTCCATTTTTCTCATCACGATCCAGCAACGCAATACCGAAACTGGGGCTCAGAAGAGTGGCAACCTGTACCTTGTGGACCTTGCCGGATCCGAGAAAGTGGGAAAGACAGGTGCTTCGGGACAAACTCTGGAAGAAGCAAAGAAGATCAACAAGTCACTTTCTGCTCTCGGCATGGTCATAAATGCTCTGACGGACTCGAAGGTACGTAAGGGCGCGTGCAAGAGGATACTTCTTCCCCCTTTTTGTACGATGATTGATTTGCCTCCTAGGTCAAACATATTCCGTATCGTGATTCGAAACTCACCCGTATACTGCAAGAGTCTCTCGGTGGTAACTCGCGCACGACGTTGATCATCAACTGCTCGCCTTCACAATACAACGAGTCTGAAACGCTTTCAACCCTCCGTTTTGGTATCCGAGCCAAGTCAATCAAGAACACTGCTCGCGTCAATGCGGAGCTCTCTCCGTTGGAGCTCAAGGGTCTTCTATCAAAAGCTCAGCTTGCGAACACTAGACATCTGTCATATATCCAGTCATTAGAAGCCGAGCTTGCTATCTGGCGTGCTGGTGGCCATGTCGAACCAAGCGAATGGACTTCCGCTGACAAGCCGACTACTGGCGCTACTGCTACAAAGAAAGCGACTTCATCCCCTGCGCTTTCTACCACAAGAAGCATGACTCCAGTGAATCCTGTATTGGAGGGTCTCCGATCAGAGATGATCATCGATAGTCGACCGCAGACACCGACGGCCGTAGGCTTGGACAAGGATGAGCGAGAAGAATTCCTCAGGAGAGAGAACGAGCTTAGCGATCAACTTGCAGAGAGGGAGAGCCTGCTCAATGCCGCAGAGAAGCTCACCAAGGAACTTCGCGAAGAGTTGGCATACCTCAAGGAGCAGGAGGCGGCAGCTTCGAAGGAGAATAAATCGATGTCGACTCAACTCAACGAGCTCCGCCTGCAAGTCGAGCGTCTGGATTACGACAACAAGGAGGGCATCATAACCATAGACATCCTGAAGGAGCAAAATCAAGATGCGAAGAGTGAGTTGGAGGAGCTCAAGAAGGTCATTACCGATCTGCGCTCGACTCAGAGAGACGCATCGGCGGAGGACAAGGAGAAGCGCAAGCAGGAGAAGATGGCGTTGATGATGGCTAAATTCGATGCCGTATGTTTTCATTACTTGAAAAGTGCACGTCGCTGATTCATTGATTTGTTCATAGCAAGGCACATTCTCCGAGAAAGACGAGCAACTTCGTCAGCTTCTTGCTAAGCTTGATACTATTGACACTGCAGGCGCTCTCTCAACATTGAGCGTCGACGATGTTGTTGCTGCAAGGAGGCAGCTCACAGAAAGCCATTCACTTGTACGCGAGACGGTCGATCGCCTCCGGCAAAGCCAAGAAGAGAATGAGATGGTTACTCGTCGCAGAGACGAGCTCGAGGCTCGGTTCTTATCACTGGAAGCTGATTATGAGGAGCTTCTTGGTGAGTGGTGAAACGTTCGGGGTATCTAAACTTTACGATCATTACTTAACAGAGAAAACCATCCATGATGAGGAGACAAGCAATGCTGACATCGTGGAGTCCATGGCCGAGTTCAAGGTGAGCTATACATGCGTCGAGAATAACCGCGTCCATTGAATGCAATCTATCGCGCAGAACAAGCTAGAGATGCAATACGCGGCTAAACGCGACGCAAACATCAGCGAAGTGGCTGATCTCAAGCAGCAACTGGAGTTGAAATCGAACGAGATTCGCACTCTTAATGCATCCATTGACAGTCTGAAGAGCGTCAATGAAGAGCTCAAGGTATGACGTTTCTCACTCTTATCCTAGCTGTGAGTTGAGCAATCCTTTGTGCAGCGTGCGTTTGCGGTGACTTCTGCGGGCATCGAGGGAGGGAAGAATCTGGCTGAGAGCGCGCAGGACCTCGAGCGAACCCGGAAAGCAATTAACGTGCAGTTGGCAGAGTTCGATGGGGTGAAGAAATCCCTCGTACGGGATCTGCAGAACCGCTGCGAGAAGGTTTGTTTGAGATAATAAGCTTTTCTTATCTTTCTGCTTATCATGCATGTGCTAGGTCGTCGAGCTTGAAATTCAATTGGATGAGATCAAAGAACAGTACAACAACGTCATTCGAAACAGTAATAGTAAAGCGCAGCAGAAGAAAATGGCATTCCTGGAGCGGAACTTGGAGCAATTAACGTTAGTTCAGAAACAGGCGAGTCTAGATCTTACACGAGGTACATATTTTGCGAGCTCAATTACTCTCGCAGCTCGTCGACCAGAACTCGGCGTTGAAAAAGGAGGCTGGAATCGCTGAGCGAAAATTACTCGCGCGAAATGAGCGGATACAGAACTTGGAAACTCTCTTGCAGGACGCTGACCGTCGGTTAGCTATCCAAAACCAGAAGTTTGAAACACAGCTCCAATCAGTTAAAGAGCGACTAGAGCAGGCACGAGGTAAGCCGAATAACGACATGGTTGCGTTGATGCCATCTCAACGCCAGCATATGTAGCCCAGAAGACTTCAAGTCCGATAAACTTTGGGCGTATCGCCAAGCCACTGCGGGGTGGCGGGGGTTCTACAGCAACGCCTGGGCCTGTTGCCACACCTGCAGCTGTTTCAAGCGGTGCACCGTCAGGAAACTCTTTAACTCGCATCCAGAACGAAGACGGAAGGTAAGTTTTGATACTGTAGTGGATGTCTCAGATTGCTAACTTGGCGTCTAATCTTGCGTTCGCGGTGCCGACAGTGGAGGTTAGTACTAGCATCAATTAGGTCACTGCTCAGTTAAGATACTAACGGATCATTTGCAGCAAAGCGTGCATCATGGTTCTTCAATCCCCGGGGGAGTTAGACGCCTTGGATTGATACCTCGACTGTTTCGTATCTCTTTTACATTGCATCTATCATCTTAATAATACATTCTCTGCCTGGACGGACTGTCTCTGCCTGACCTAAAGTTGTTAGTAGATAAGCTATGTACGACTATATACTTTTCTGGCTGTGCATACGAATCTGCGTGTACTCGCATCATGTGGTGTGTCATGCATTCAATCGAACTGCCCTTGCACTAATGAACACCTACAACTTGTTCTGGTCGGTTACCACGGTCCGTTTGTAACGGAACCGATCGATGGTTGTACTAGTAGTAGAGGATATTTTGAAGTTGAGTATGGCATCCGGGAAGGTTGGGTAAGCGGTCTGGCGCTTCTTTCGCAAGAAGTAGGGATATGATTGTCAAAAGGAAGTCAGGAAGGATCAGAATTTGGGACGGTGCCGTTGAATTTTACTCAAAAAAATTTCATCGGGAATAGGCGAATGAGCGGGGACCTGTGATGGCTGTGTGTAAATGTTCCATTATGAGGGTCCATTCTGAATATTGGTCGTGAACCCGTTAATATTTTATTTTCCCTAGATTTTCGGACAAACAGGTAGCTTGCAGCTGCCTGCCGAGCGGAACCATTTTCCCGTTGTAAGTAACGGAACCAGAAATTACCAGCCGACTCGGACTGAATACTGTAATACCCCTTCAGTATTAGTCGTGGTAGAAATAAACTATCCCTGAACGCATCTCGATCGTTCGGTTTTTCGTCTTACGCGCGCCTGACTTTACCGGGGGACGTGTCTTCTTCTTTTCCTCTTCATCTACTAGCTTACCTGGGGAGAACATATCTGCTACTGTCCTATATCTTTTGGTAAGTCATTGATCCGCACTCCTCCATTGATTCACGCGTCATGTTCAAATCCCTCACATCGTGGCCTATTTACGACAACTGTTCTGCACTCGCGACTCATACAGGCGCGTTTTCCCGTTCTCCGTTCCGGTTTTTCACTTGTAACTGGGTCGAAACGTGTTTCATTGCATAACTCACACCTTTTTCAGCTAATTCGTTTGCACAATTCCACTTAAAACTCTATAATCTGCTCTCCGCTTTTTTTGCTTCTTCTGTGAGTTACCACCTCGGTTTTCTACAATCATCCCTTTAACTTACCGGACCTAGCACGCAAATCCTTTTCCTCCTGCAGTTTGTCATGTCAACTCATCCCGGAGACACTTCTCGGAAGCCATCAGGCTCATCGACGCGCTCGTCTGGACACTCTCCTTCAGCTTCCCCGAATAACGTATGGTCATAGCTTTCTGGCCTGATTGATTCTTACCAAGGCACAGTCACAGAGGAACCTGACTCCGACAACAGCAAACATGTTTGGTGTCACGATAGCCGGGGCCTCCGGACTCAAGGGTCTCAACTCAGGTTGGCAGGTGGGCGGAACAACCTGCGAAGCTGTCCCTTTTACTTACGTGATGTCATTCTAGGTATGGGGATCAACGACACCAGCGTCCAAGAGGAATGCGTCGATATCCTCCGCTGCTAGTGTGACCGACCTCTCACCTTCCCAGGCAGAGAGTGGTTACCGAGGAAATCTGGGAGAAAGCTGGAGTGCGCCAAGGCCGACCAGTGGAACCTGGGATGAGCTGAGTGGAAGCCCTCAAAAGAAAGAGTTCTTGCAGTTGGTCAGTCAATTCTTTCACAGCATTTGTTTGGCATTCAGCATTCAATAGGACACTAATTCCCCCTTGTCCCTGCATCATGCTCGGCAGAGGCAAGCAACTGCAGCGCAAGCAGCCGCGTTGTCAGGCCCAAGAATTGTATGTGTTCCTAATGAATCTCAAGGGCGTGCTAATAGATCTCTCAAGGACGATCGCTCCTCGGCAAAGGCCGGACAATTCTCTCCTCAGAGGTTCGACAATGCTCTCGGAAAGGAAACCGGAGTCTCCAATAGATATGCGGCTTCTTCAAATGCATCGGGCTATGGATCGTCTGCCTTCGGTGGTCAAAATAGTGGCTTTGACTCCATGCAGGTGTCTTCAGTTGTTGAAAACGAATTGTCTATGGGTCTGAGAGGGATGGCAGTCGAGGACGATCACGTCAGTGGCCAATACCGCCACCAATCCGCCTCTTCACCGTCCAACGCTGTTGCTTCTCATTCCCCTGCTGGTCCCCAGGTGCGACCACCCCCGCAGATGGTTCAAGGACGTCCCCCGTATGGTAGTTACCCTCAGGCCGATTATTCGTCGTATTATACCAATGCCGCTACACGCGACCCTTACATGGATTATGGATATGGATACAGTACCCCGACGGACCCTTCACTCTACCCTTCATCCGCTGGGATGAATAATACTCCCGCGGCAAGCCTATACCCTGGCGTATCACCACAGCCGTTACACCATAATGCTCCCACTGGCCAACAGTCCAGTATATACTACGACTATTCAGCCTCCGCGCGAACGCCCTCGCAATACTACTACCCCGCGCATCAGCCAATAATGTATCCAACCATGCCTCCGCTCTCTCCGATGCCAACTCCTCAGCTCAGCGCTGCCGCGCCCGCCGGTGGTATGCCCGACAAGAAACAGGTTGGTTTTTCTTATTTACGTTAGATTGTATCCAGGGCGATGCTGACCCTTCAACCGTAGTATGGACTGCAACAACAGGTGGCTCTTCAAAACATTTTGCGCCCCACCATGATCTCATATACTCCCCACCAGGGTTATGCTGCTGATTATGGTGCCCAGATCCCCTTCATGATTCCTAATGGCGCTATGTATGGTCATACCGCTCACGGAATACCGTTTTATCACCAAAACTTACGTCCCGGGCGGCGCCAGGATGCAAATGACGTTGGTTCGGCTTTGCGCAGTCCTTTGTTGGATGAGTTCAGAGCGAACAAAGCGCGCAAGTGGGAGCTTAGGGTGTGTTCAATTTCATTATAGCGATCAGCAAACTAATGGAATCTCAGGATATCTATGGCTATATTGTCGAGTTTAGTGGTGATCAACACGGATCTCGCTTCATTCAACAGAAGCTTGAGACAGCTACCTCGGAGGAGAAACAAGGTGTCTTCGATGAGATCGTCCCTGACAATGCCTTGCAGCTCATTCAGGATGTATTTGGTAACTATGTATGTTTATGGCGTGATGTTTCGCTTGCTATCACATCTGAAGGTTTCTATAGGTCATCCAAAAGCTATTTGAGCACGGGACGCAAGTTCAAAAGACTGTTCTCGCCAACGCGATGGAGGGTCATATTCTACCACTGTCACTACAGATGTATGGCTGTCGTGTCGTGCAGAAGGTCTGCATACACGTTCGCAGACTCGCCGCGTCTAATTCAAATTTGCTAGGCGGTAGAATTTATTCTTCCAGATCAGCAGGCGTCATTCGTCAGGGAACTTGATCCGCATGTACTTAAATGCGTAAAGGATGCGAACGGCAACCACGTTAGCACGCTCCTTACATTTTAAATGCTTTAGGCTAATATATCCGCAGGTCATCCAAAAGTTGATCGAACGCGTGTCGCACGAGCGACTGGGCTTCGTCAACTCATTCAGGGGTAATGTGTATGATCTCTCTACGCATCCATATGGGTGTCGTGTATTGCAACGATGCTTTGAGCACCTACCTGAAGAGACAACACGTCCTCTCATGGATGAACTGCATAAGTATATGATCAATCTGATGCAGGATCAATTCGGGGTATGTACTCACCATTGTTAGATTTTTGCCTGTTGCTCATGAGTTACGAAAGAACTACGTTGTTCAATTTGTGCTCGAGCAGGGCAAGCCTCAAGATCGGAATCAAGTTATTGCCAAACTTCGTGGTCAGATGTTGAATATGGCTCGCCACAAGTTCGCATCAAATGTCTGTGAGAAGGCTCTCGTTACCGCCGGTATGGAGGAACGTCGTATCCTTATTGATGAGATCATCATGCCGAAGACCGATGGTGTCAGTCCAATTGTGTCCATGATGAAGGACCAATTTGCCAGTACGTTGCTATGTTCGTATATTAAAATTCTAATTACTGAATGCACATATAGACTACGTCCTTCAGCGGGCACTAACTGTGGCAGAACCCGATCAGAAGGAGATTCTGATTGCTAAGATCCGTCCCCAGCTCGTCAGCATGCGCAGATACTCGAGCGCTTACAGCAAGCATCTTATTTCCAGTATGTCGATGAAATACAGCCGAGATAAATGAAATATTATCTGACCAACGCCCAATAGTTGAACGTCTTCTAGAGCGCACGATTAATGCCTCAAAGGCCTCGGATAAACCTGCGGACTACCCCTCACTATTGCACAAGCCAGTCAACTAATAGCGTGCTCTACGACCATTTTTTTTCTTCTTGCTTCACTTCCTATATTCTCTTTGCTCCACTCGCAATGCTATGGTATATTCGCATCAATTTTCCCTCATTCCGCAATCACTCACACCACGATTATCCACGCAATCAACATTATTAATTGCACACTCTTTACATTCATTCAGTACGATATTTGCATTCCCTGCTTCTTCGCTGTCGATATTCAAACTTTCATGTCGCTATCATCTCTGTCGTCATTTTCCCCATCCGTGGTACATATCGATCGTATAGATACTGAGTACACCAGTTATAATCGTCATGGATTTTGTCTTGCAACGCATGCATGTTACTCGGACGAACTAGTAATGATCCCGCGGATAGATTGAAAGTAAACGGCGACAAACAGAAATATTATTAGTCGTGCTAAAGTAGGCAAGTACTACCGTCACGTCGCCAAGCGCAAAAGCTTTCAGCGAAACGTCAGCATCCTGCTTTTCTCAAGCCCACGAGTTCTACACGCCTGCAGGACAGAAACGTTGCAAACATGAGTACTGTGGAAGCTGCAGCTTCGCTATTTGGTTCGGATGGCGATTCTGGGCCGGATCCGTTTGCGGTTATTGGCAACGAGGAGACTGACACGACACCACCTGCCGGGTTGACGGTACATGAATATGGACAACATGATTCTGCTTCTTATCCATCTGACATGGGCCAGGACGCTTCCAACTTGTTCGCTGAAGAAATTCCCCAGGGCACTCAGCCTTTTGAACAAGATCCTTGGTCAATTGCTGTGGACCACGATGCCCAGTGTTCCTGTAAACCAGGTTCCTGACAGCTCGCAATACTCTGCTACCGGTTACGAACAGTCTCAAGAGCAGTCCCCTGCGCCTGGTTATTCCACGACTCAACCAGAGGTCTCGTATGTCCAACAACCAGGTGTGTCGGCTGTGTAACTTTATTGCGTCTGCAGTGTTAATTTGTTACAGCACAAGGAAGTCATAGTGCCAGCGGTACAGCGAGTGCTTATCACCAGTACACACCAGACTCGACTGCCAATTTCTCACAATACGGCGGGAGTCAACATTCAAGCCAATCATATGCGCCGGTACATGGCAGCTACGACCATTACAAGCCCACCGCTAACACCGCACCCACTCGCGCATCACAACCACTTGCTGCACCCGCCAACTCTCAGACAGCATACCAGCCATATAACCCTATGACACGTTCGGTTTCTCAACCTTATTCGTCGACTGCGTACGCTGCACCTCCTAAACCAGCTTCTCCCAGCATCCCTCCCCCTCCTGCCCAGGTTCCTCCTGCGATGTCGGCTGCATCTTATCGTCCACAGAAGTCGAATGCGTATGACCCCCCTCTTCCTCCTCCGAAGGTGTCAAAGCGTGCTGTGAGCGCACGCGCACCAGCCTTGGGACAGTATGGATCATATGGCCAGCCCTCGCAAGTCCCCCCTGTACCCGCTGTACCCGCTACTCTCCCTCCTCCCCCTGATAGTACTCGGTACGGCAGCCCCTCCGGTAACGTGACACAACCTCCAATTTCCCATGCACCTCCGCGAGCGCAAGTGACACGTCAGCCTACAGGCGCCTTGGGTGTTACCTCGCCACCCAAGTTTCCACAACAGCTCCCTCAACCGCCTGCTGGCGATCATTACGCGCAACGTGGGATATCACACACGGACACTCGCACATCCCCATTGGCCTCCCCTCCACACACGAATTCCCCTCCACTTCCACAAAATTCTTATACGCAGGAATTACTTGATGAAGCACCTACTCCTAAACAAGGTTCATCCAGCTCATTTACGGAATGTATGCCAGTTGCATCTCCTCCCGCTGAGACATATCCGCTGCCAAGTCATGACCTGCACTCAGAGAGTCGTGCTTACACGTCTGATGATATGCCCTGGGACGATCCGGAAAGTTTGCAGACTGAGGCTATCGAGATGATATCATCTTCTTTCCATGCCGTTCGAGATCCCTATACGCCTTCACTTCCTGCAGAGCACGGAGGTTTGAATGGTTCCATGAAGCCGCATAGCAGCCCACCCTCTTCCCCACCTAGAAGCAAGGCGCATCAACATCAAGACACGATGTTGATACGAGGCTCAGTGCTACGGCGGTCCCCTTCTCATTCCAGAGATGGATCTAACGGTTCAAATGCGTCATCCCTGCGTAGTCCGGTAAACAGGGTTTCCTCTCCTTTACGCAACGCTTTCAATTCCAGTGAACAGGATGGTTACCCTGGTCCTCCCCATCCGGCTTCTGCATATGAGCCATCACAATACGCCGCGCCCAACAGAGCGACATCTCCTAGTTCTGTTCGCTCGTTCGCAAGCCATGCAGGATCTATTAAGAGTACCTACAACTCGACAGCTCCAACTGCGGTGAACAATCACGAGCCCAGATTGCATACCACGTATGAGAGGACTTCATCCCCCGTCTTCCACCACTCGCGTCAGGCCTCTCCAGCCCCTGATCCATATGCAGTTACCAAGAATGTTGTGGTTCTGGCTCAGTCCGAATATCGTGATCGTTCAGGTTCTAATGGATCCTTGCATTCCACGG